TGGGAGGAAGAGGTGAGGTCAGCCCGCATGGCTACTTGAGAAGCCGAGAAGATGGCAGGAAGGTGGCAAGCAAGGCCAGACCAGCCGCGACGCAGGGAGACCTTCTCTCAACACTGTAAGACTTCAAAAACAAGTTTTTTTTCTTTTTAAATTCAAAAGGGCCTGGGAATGTAGCCCCGTGCTCACTGGTTTCAATCCCCAGAAGGAGCTCGGATAAGAGAGGAGAAGGGATGGCCGGTGCTGAAGGGATGGCCCAGCCGTTCCGCGTGTTCTTGAGGTCTCCCTACGTGGCCACACTGGCCTCGAACTGTCCATCCTTCTGCCTCAACCTCCTGAATAGCTGGAATTCCAGGGGTGCACCACTGTGCCTGGCTCTCCTGGCTTCTTTACACCGTGAATATATTGGGAATGTAGCTTGGCCACTTGAGTCTCCCGCCTGCATCATTGGCTGTCTTGAGAAAAGCTCCCTTCTGTGCAGGAGCAACGTTTTTGTTGTTTCAGTGACTGACTGCCGTATGCTAGCAAAAGAGCCCTTCCTGGGGGTTCTGGGGCTCTGGACTCCTTCTCAGTGGCAGGGGTATGGTGGTGGGTGCTCATGGCATCTGGAAAGGGACTCTTGTTGTTGTTTGTTTTTTGGTACAGGGGATTGAACTCATGACCTTGCACTTGCCCGGCAGGCACGTAAGCCACTAAGCTGTCTCCCTGGCCCGGGAAGGGGGCTCTTCCTAGCACTCTTTTGGCTCTCTCCTGACTTTTCATTGCTTGTGGCTCATCATTCACTGCATCACCTCACCAGAGTCCCAGGGACCAAGCTTGGTGTGGAGGCATATGCGAGCCTGCAGCCCCAGCACTGGGGAGGCCGAGGCAGGAGGATCTCCACAAGAGACCTAGGCTGTGTAGTGAGCTCAAGGCCAACCTAGACCTCAGAGCAAGAGCCTGCCTCAAAAAAGCAACACAAGGGACTCTTTAGATCACTAGGAATTCTTGAGGGTTTTATTCTTTTTAAAGATTTTTTTTTTTTTTTTTTTTTTGTACCAGGACTTAAACTCAGAGCCTTGTGCTTGCCAAGCAGGCCCTGTGCCACTGAGCTACATCTCTGGCTTTTTAAAAAAAATTCTTTCAAAGGACAAATGGCCATCTTTTTTCTCATTTCCTGGTTTGAGATCTTTTTTTTTTTTTTTCCCTCTTTGATCATTGAGACAGAGTCTCGCTGTACAGTCCAGGCGGGGCTCGGACCCTCAGCAGTCCTGCCTTAGGCTCCTGAGGGCTGGGCTGGCAGCGGTGCACTACAACATCTGGCTTCTAATTTTTCTAACAAAAGTAAAGACAGTTAAAATGAACACAGGATCCAGCACGGGGGTGTTTTGGGTACGGTCATAATTATTTGAAATTGCTCAAAATTAAACACTGTGGCTTCTAAAGCCACCCATGAGAGGATGAAATGACAGCCTCTGGGGGCGAGGAGCCCTTGCAAACCACAAGTCTGACAAGCAACTGTGAGCAGAGCGCATCTCGAAGGCACAGGACTCAGTGGAGTAGGCAACAGTTTCTTAGAAGTGACAACAAAAGTACAAGCTACTGAAAGAAGAAAATGGATAAATTACACATCGCCAAACCTAAAAACTGGTGTATGAGGCCTGGCATGAGGGCTTAGTGGGAGAGAATGTACAAAACCCTGCAAGCGTGAGACCCAGGGCTGGAAAAAAAAAAAAAGAAAAGAAAAGAAAAAGAAAGCCTTTTGTATGTTAGAAACAAACCAACAAAAACCATCAAGAAAGTGAAAGCCAGGTGCAGTGGGGCCCACCTGGAATTCCAGTCCTGGGGAAGCTGAGGCAGGAGGGCCCCAGGAGTTCCGTGTCAGCTAGGCTACGTAGTAAGACTCTGTCTCAAAAGGAAAGAGGGAGAAAGATGAGGAGGAAGAGGACGAGGAAGAAGAGGAAGAAGCTAAACCTTATTAAATGGGAGAAACATTTACAAGTTAACTCTAGGGGCTATTGTGCAGAAGGTAGAAAGAACTCTTACAACTCAACTGTAAAGAAACAAGTAACCAACTAAGAAATAGGCAACAGATTTGAGTAGACTTAATGCAAATGAAAACTCACTGTGAAGGGAGATAACTCAGCAGCTTAAGTGCCTGCCTGGCAAGCGCAAGGTTCCAAGTTTGATCCCCAGTACTGAAAAAAAGAAAAGAAAAGAAAAGCACAATGAAATACCACTTCAGACTTGCTAAGACAGCCATCCTCATAAAAACCCTCAGGCATCTGGAACGATCGGAACCCTCCAACATTACTCATGAAAACTATAAGATGATAAGATGACGTGGCAGAAGCAGAAAACAGTTTGGCACTTCCTCAAAGTATTAAAAAAGCAGTTACCAAATGACCCAACAATTTTATTCCTTATATCTACTCAAAAGAAATGAAAACAATGGAGGGTTAACAACCTAAGTTTGCAGACCAAAATTAGAGAAAAAGGAGGGTCACAAGGAAAGCCAACATTTTGGCCCTAGCCTTCCAAGGTCACTTAAGACTCAGGACATATGAGAACTTGTACTGTAACGTCATGTAACTCGGTAGTGTCCCAAATTTTCTGATCAAGGAGATTATGGGGCCAAAGAGGAAAGTGATCGATGATGTGGAGTGTGCCTAAGGAGAGTCACATGGAGAGAAAACATTCTCTCTGGCTTTCACAGAGAGCACACATTGGCCAAGCAATGGCCGTGACTCATCCACATGCCTGACACTGACAAAGGTTCTACAATCTGAGGTACAGAATCTCAGGATAAATCCTGAGGGGATTTCACTGACCTTATCAGACCCAAAAGCTACAACTCTTGTTGCGTAGGTCCTGCTTTACCTTGGTCTTAACCATCCAGCAGAAAAGTATAAAAACGAAATATAAGAAGTAAAGCCATGCTGTTATGTTGACCTGTAGGAGACTCACGTCAACAATTTCTGACATTGCCAGTGAAGCAGAAGACCCAATACTATTATGGACCTGGACTCTTTTAGAATGTTTTGCTGAGTTTACACACCTATAATATTCAAATAACAAACTTAACAAAAAAAAAGGGGATACAGACGAATGTCCAGTTTGTATCTGTGTATTCAAAGTGGTTAGGATGGATATATAGTTACATTCTCCTAATGAATAGAGGGATTTGTTCTAATGGTGTTTGTAAATAGGATATCATGTCCACATCTTGTACAGCAATTAACCACTAGGAAGAATGTATGCAATGTGTTAGTTATTGAAACTGTCCTACCAATTTGGTTTGAAACTGTCTCATTGCTATTTGTTTCTCAATAAAATTATGGAAAAAATGAATAAAAATAAAGGGAAGCAACATGTTTAATAATATGCATATATAATATAAATATATGTAGTTTGTTATAAAAAAAGAAATGAAAACAAATGTTCACATAGAAACTTGTACACCAATCTTCATACCAGCATATTCATGATAACCAAAAAATGGAAGCAAGCTAAATGTCCAGTCAGTGATGAATGGATAAAATACGGTCTGTCACACGATGGAATATTACACAGTCAGGAAAATGAACGAAATACAGACATATGCTGTAGCATAGATGAACCTCAAAAACACTGCTAAGTGAAAGAATGCAGGCAGGCAGACAGACAGACACACACACACACACACACAATGTGTGATTCCACCAACACAAAAAATCAAGGTCAGTCTAATCTGTATATGGCATGTTTGTGACAGAAGCCGAATAAATGCGAGAAAGGGGTTTGATTGCGTATACAGGATAGAGTCCCTTGTAGACTGAGGAGAATGTAGGAAATTGGGTCCAGTAACAGTTACACCATGAACATGCTTGTATTGTGACTATTGTATACAGCACATGGGTGAGTTTTCGGATACCGAAATTGCCTTTGCCATTTACGTGTTAGGCGCTGCGGCAGCCGAAATCACCAGTCTGCTGGGCTCTGCCTGGACGGAAGCGTCAGAGGAGAACGCCCAGCAGGTTTCTCCGCTCGGGACCCGGCTGGCGCGCCTGCGCGCATGCGCAAGCGTCGCGGTTGCCTAGCAGCGCGGGCAGCATGGCGGCCGACACCCGGAGCGACAGCTGGAGCGGGGGCGGGGGCGCGCCGGGCACAGTGAGCGCGGCGGTGAACGAGCACCTGCGGGGCCTGTGTCTGCGCGAGTTCCCGTGCGGCGTCGGCAGCTGGGTGCGGCGCGGCGGGGCTGGGGTTGCTGCGAGGGCGTGGCCGAGGGCGGCTAGGAGCTGAGTGGCCCTGGGGTCTCCGTCCCGGGCTGGGTGGGGGATGGGCGTCCCCACCGCCAGCAGCTGGCGGATCCCAGCATTTGACAGGAGCCTGGTGGCACCAGGGAAACCGCGTGCCCGCCCTGGAGGCTCCAAGGGCGCTGTCAGCCAAGAGCTTGCCACTTGCTTAGTGAGCAGCTGCTGGCCGAGCGCTGGCCGTGTCCCGGGCTCCGGACTGGGCTTTCCGGTTCCACAGCTGTCTCTTGGGCTGGGGGTGCAGTTCAGTGGCCTGCTTGCCTGCCACGCGGAAGGTCCCGGGTTTGATCCCCAGCCCTGCCAAAACCCCCAAAACAAACTGCACAGAATCTGAGGCGCTGCGTCTCAGCAGTCCCTGGAGGAAGGGCAGGAGAGTGAATCCCGGGCCGAGCTCTCCCCTCCACCCCCGTCCCAGCCCTGCCGAGTTGCCTTGCAGCCTGGCCACGGAGCCCCCCGCCCGGCCCGGGCCCGCCCCATTGGCCTCGGGAGCCTCGGCTGGCAGTGCACGATCCTCACCAACCTCGTGTTCAAGGTGGACTGGCTCCGCCTTGGCGCCCAAGGTTCCCAGCTCGGGTCAGGCCCTGAGGGCAGGCGTCACCGGCCTTTGCCTCCTGGCTTCTCTCCCTTCCCTGTAGGCAGGCCGCATCAGGGGCCCGTGTGAACCCCCAGGTCCCCACCCTCCCCCGAGGGTCAGGGTCCTAAGAGGGCGGGGGAGACCCACTTGCGCCCGCCTCCGCCCTGCAGAACAGATCCCGCTTCCTTCCTCCCACACCTCGAGCCTGGAAGGAGCTGGTGCCCGGGGAGGAGGAGGCCCTGGGCCCCGAGGAGGAGCCGGTGGAAGCCCTGCTGGGGCTGGTGCGCAGCCCCCAGTCGCCCTGGGCACTGCCAGGGGACTCCAGCGCTGAGGACCGGTTCCTCCGAGAGCTGGCCATCCAGAGCCCAAGGAGGATCAGAGACACCTTCTTCTACTCCTACTTCCGGTCCCTGCGGGTGGTGGACAAGCAGGTGAGGTGGCCGCCAGGGAAGCCCTGTCTCTCCTTACCCAAGCTCTCTAGAGCTGCTCCGTCCGCAATCTGTCCATGTCTCCTTGTACAGTTCTTCAAGAGAACCCGGGGGGAGGCTGAGGCAGGCTTATCTGAAATTAAATCCTGGTCTGGGCAATTTAGTGATTTAGCAATACCCTGTCCCAAAGATAAAAAAATAAAAGCAGGCTGAGATACAGCTTAGCATGAAGCCCCTGGGTTCAATTCCCAGTAACAGAAAAGAAAAAACCTTTTGAAAGGTTGAGCTTGGTTTTAAGGACACAGATTGTGGGGGTGCGTGGGGGAGGGGCACCTCAGTGCTCACTTCCTTCAGGCCTTCTGTGCGTGATCAGTAGCAGAGCCCAACAGTGGAATGGAAACTTGGTCTCCGTCTTTAGAGCCTCTGCTTCCTTTTCCTTGCCCGGTTTCCCTGGGACTTTCCCGGTGCACGCTGCGAATGTAGGGAAGCCCAGGACAAAGCTCTGGTCACTGCAGCGGAGAGGGCCCCAGCCACGTGGCCTCATGGCACAGGAATGTGGGGAGTTCATGGGTCAGTGCGTGAGCTCCTGGTCTGACCCCAGTCTGTGTAAGCTCAGGTGATTCCCACAGACTCTAAGCCACTGCGAAAGCTGAGGCAGGAAGATCGCGAGTTCGAGGCCAGCAGGGGTACATAGCAAGACCCTGCTTCATCAAAAAGCAAAATACCTGAACTGTCTTTGGTGTCAGATATAGACAGCATAGAAGACGGGGCTCCCCCAACTCCTGAAAAGGGCACGGTCTAAGGAGGGACACAGGATGCTGACCTGGTGGTCACAGGACCCCTAATAGGGGTGCTGCTGTGGTGGGCTTGAGCAATCCCATAGCTACTCCAGCCCCAGGCTCTGCCCACCCCCCAGATTAGCCAGGTGGACAAAGACCTCCTGAAGTTCCTGAAGCTCGAGGAGCTGGTCCTGAGCGCCAACCGGATCAAGGAAGTTGATGCCGCCAACCTGCCTCCCACACTCAAGGTACAGGGGTCCCACTGCCATCCGGGTCCTGAGCCAGCGCTCCCACAGGCCCTGCCCTTAACTCGCCCCATGTGCCGGCCAGAGTGGCTAGGTGCTGAGCTCCAACCCAGGGCTTTAAAAGTACAGGTTGCGTTCCTCGAAAGCTAGACAGAATTCCCATGGGCCTTGGGGCTCATTGTCTGGCGTATACTCTGAAGAGCAGAGGCAAGGACAGGGCTGGTCCTTGTGTACTAGGATTCACAGCAACACTAAGGTGCAAGGGACCCACATGTCTGCAACCACATGAGATCGATCCAGGGTGGAGTACTACTCACCTGTGAAAAGGAAGGCAGCTCTGATAGTTGCTACAGCATGGGTGGACCCAGAAGCCCACACACATGGCAGCAGGAGCCACACAGAAAAGGGCAGATCTAGGAGGACCTGGAGAGGGGCAGCGGGAGCCCACCCCCTGGGGAATCTCGGAGTTTCCATGAGAAATTTTAGAAATGGATGATGAGGGTGGTGGCTCAATGCCACTGTGTGATGAACGCCACTGAGTTGTGTGCTAAACAGTGGCCAGGTTGGCAGATTTATCTTACAGATCCTTCATGCGCAAAAGAGATGAGCACCCAGGCCAGGCTTCCCAGGAGCCTTCAGCAGAGCCACGGTGGCCCTGACTTTGCGTTGAACTCGCATGGGGACTCAGGCAGAGCTCTGCTGCCTTCTCCCGTCACCTCCCTTCTACACATTGCAGTCACCTCCACTCTGCTTCCTGCATTTAAAAAAGGAGTCCAGGCTGGGCATGGTGGCACACACCTGTCATCCCAGCACTCTGGGAGCTAACAACTTAGTGTCTCAAAATAAAAAAAATAAAAAGGCAGGGGATGTAGCACAGCATAAAGGCCCTGGGTTCGATCCTGAGTACCTCACAGAGAGACAGACAGGCAGGCAGGCAGGCAGGCAGGCAGGCAGGCACCACCCAGGCGCAGCACAGCAGGCCAGGAACAATTCACAGCCCCTCTCCGGATTCTTCTGCTGGAAGCAGGAGCTCAGGGCAGGCCAGGACGGTGTCCAGCCACAGCCGCTGCTGTCCTTGCAGGTGCTGGAGCTGTACGGCAATGAGCTGAGCAGCATGGAGTGTCTGTGTGCGCACCCGCCACCCGGCCTGCGCCACCTGGGGCTGGGCCACAACCAGCTGCGCGGCCCCTCTGAAAGCCTCTATGTCACCGCCAGTCACTGGTAACGAGGGCGGGGAGGGTGGATGGAGCACTGGCTCTTCCTGTAACATCCTGTTGGCTGCGAAGGACACTTTAGTTTTGATTCCAAACCAAAACCCCACTGAGTTAGGTGTGGTGGTACACACCTGTCACCCCAGCACTTGGGAGGCTGAGGCAGGAGAATCGCCTCAAGTTCAAGGCCAACCTGGGCTCCATAGTGAGTTCAAGGCCAGACTGAACTATATAGTGAGTGCCTTTTCCCCAAAAAATTATGTCTCCAGATAATAGCCAAGTGACTGTGTCACTCCTGGTCGAAGAGCCCTGTCTTAGAGGCTGCTGCTTTTGCTGAAGACAGTGTGCGTTTAGCGGTAGTGACCCTGACTGTCGCCATGTGACTTTGTTTCCATGGTGAAAACTTGGAACCCGAGAGTCCCCACAGGGGGTGGCTGCAGGGAGCCAGGCCCAGGCTCCGAGAGCATCTTGGGTATGGACATCCTCTCTCAGCCCAATTCTGGTTTGGGGCAGGATTTTTTTTTTTTTTTTTTTTTTACCAAAAATCAAGCTGAGAGCCTTGTGCTTACCAGACAGGCGCTTGCGTCCAGAGCTATCTCCCCAGCAGAAGGGTTGCTTTTGTTTTCCAATTTTTAAAACAATGTTTGAGACAGGGTCTGGCTACATTCCTGCCTCAGCCTCCCAGAGCTCTGAGATTACAGGTGCCTGGCTGTATTCTGGGTTTTGATTTTGTTGGAAAACAGCACAACCTGCTGCCTAATGGGGATCTGTAGAAAGGTGTATGCGAAGCCTCCGACTCAGCGGCTGTGCAGTGAAGAAGATACATTTCTTGGGCACTTATTTTGCTGTTTTCCAGGGGCCCGCCCTCTCTGCCTTCCCAGGGATCAAATCCAGGGCCTTTGCGCCGAGCTCCACCCTCCAGCCCTTTTACATTTCCAAAGTCGAAATTGCCTGGAGGGAACTAGAACTTGCCTCCCCTGGCCTCAGCCTCCCAGGCCCGGCCTCCCAGCGCACCACCAGGCAGCTTCCCAGTCCCTTAAGGCGGAGCCGGGAGAGGAAGGCGGGAAGGCGGCTCCGGCCGGCCGGGCACGGGACGCGAGGTGCGGGCGAGGCGGCGGGCGGGTGGGCAGCGCCTCCCGGCCCCCCTCCAGGCCCAGCCTCGTCTCCCTGGACCTGAGCTTCAACGGCCTGACGGACCTGCGGGCCATGGTGGCCGCGCTGCGCTCGCTTGGCCGCCTGCGGCTGCTGGTGCTGCAGGGGAACCCGCTGGCGCTGCTCCCGCACTACCGCGGCTTCACCGTGGACAGCCTGGCCCGGCTCTGCGTGCTGGACGACGTCACCGTGTCCCCGCCCGAGAGGCACCAGTGCCGCGGGCTGGGCCAGCAAGGTGGTGGGTGCAGCGCGGAGGGGCATTCCCGGGGCTTTGCGCCCGCGTGGCGCGAGGTCCCCCCCTGGTGGCCCGCGGCTGCAAGCGCAGCCTCCGGGGTCCCGGGCGCGCAGCCTGGAGGTCCCCGACCTTCTTCCGCGTCCCCACCGAGCTCAGCGAGGAGGCCGAGGGTCTGGGCTGCAGCTCCTGCCAGCCCTCGTCCGGCCCTTGCTCCACAGAGCTCCTGACGCAGGAGGCGCAGCTGCTGGTGACCATCGGAAACATCGGGGGTGTCGTGGACTCGTCTGTCTTGGACCCCGAGCCCGGGCCCGAGGGACCCTTTATCAGCTACAGCTACTATGTGACCTACGACTTCTTAGAAGAGGAGGAGGGCGAGGCCAGCGAGTACGGCGGGGTCCTCGCCGAGGTGCGTACGGCAGAGCCTCCGACTCGTTGCCCTTTTTATAAAAATTTTCAATTTTGAGACAGGGTCTTCCCAAGTTATTAGATTGCCCAGGCCGTGCTCAAAGTTGGCGCTCCCAGCCTCAGCCTGCCAAGTGCTAGGATTACGGGCGTGTGGCACCACCACTCCTGATCCCCAGGGCCATCCTTACAGTGTAGGGTAGCACAGGTAGGTTAGGAGGCTGAGGCAAGAGGACCGCTGCGAGTTCGAGACCAGCCTGGGCGCCACAGTCCAAGGCCAGGCGGAACTGTAGCAAGACCTTGGTCTCTAAAAATAAATACATACATAAATAAATCTCTGTCCCCAAGCCCCTGGCGTGTGCGTCTGTGTGGACCCTGCCAGAGGACGGCGGTGGGGCCACAGTCGCTGCTTCTCGTCTCGGGCAGATCGTGAAGCCCCTGTCCAGCGCCGAGCTGCTCGGGGAGGAGGTCCCCGAGGAGGGCGCAGAGGAGGACGTGGCCGAGGAGTCCGTAGAGTCGGTGGAAACCACGGAGCAGGCGGAGTCCGAGTCTTCTGTCGTTTCGGGCCGCTCGGCTCCCCAGCCGCCGTCTATGGACTCTGCCGAGGAGCTGGCGAAGTTGCGGCCGCGCATGGATCCGCGGCTGTGCCCTGCCCCCGGGTAGGGAGCGGCGGGCGGGAGCCCGTCCTAGGGTCGCGGCTTTCAGAAGGCCCAGGCCACACTGTCACGCCTGCTGTCCTGCCACTGAGCCATGCCCAAGGCCCTGAGCAGCTCTCCTTAGCCAGGTGCAGACCTTGGGCTTGGGTTGGAGTTCTGCGCTCCTTTCTAGGCGCTACGCTTCCGCTGCAAGCAGAGCGGGTCCCAGTAGTGACTGCAGTAATCCTAGCACTCTGGGAGGCTGGGGCAAGAGGATCTCGGGTTCAAGGCAGGCGTGGGTCACGTAGGGAGCCCCTGTCCCAAAATAAGGGAGGCTGGTGAAGTACAGAGGCCCAGATTCGGTCCCCGTAGTGGAAAAGCAAAGCAAAGCAAAACGCCACTCATTCCCGCTTGCTTTGCAGTCCCATCCTGCCCCTGGCACCCACGGCCCTATTTCCACCTCTGTGATGGGATGGGTGTGGTGACTCAGAAAAGGACCTTGGTCCTCATCCCCTTGCCTGAGGCTTATTTCCCTGAGCACAGCTGTCCTGAGATCTGTCCTTGCTGTCCCATAGGGATTCCTTCCTTTCCGAGGCTGGCAATGCGACTGTCCATGCAGCCATGTTTGTTTATTCATCTGGCAATGGAGACGTGGGCTGTGTCCACCATGGGCTGCTGTGGATGTGGTGCCTGGTGTCGCCCAGGCCCTACCACCCTTTTTCACCCCTGTCCTGGGGATTCTTATTTCCCCATGTGAGGTCCCACACCTGGTGCCACTTAAAGGACAGCTCACTGCCCCTGGAGAGCACCAGTTTGTAAGGACTTGGGGGGTTTGTGATGTTTCTGCCTTTTACGTACAACCGTGTGAACTTTTTTAACCCCTTGCTGCAGTTTTGGTTGGTTCCCTCTGTCCCTGAACGAAGGGTCCCTTTGTATCTATTTTACCTTTTCCTTTGGCAGTGTTGGGGCACCCAGTCTGGCACTGTGTGTCATGTGTGTCACGTGTAGTCTTTTTAGATATAGCTCACTGGTAGAGCACTTGCCTAGCCGTCCCCTCCCTGCCTTGTTCGCCCTGGTTCCCAGCCATAACCCTGGGGTCGGTGCCACATCTGTTGTCCCCAGGACAGTCCTCTTCAGCACAGACCACAAGCCCTGGGCTGACATCATCGCCTGCAACTATGAGGCACAGCACAGTGTCAGGGACCTGGGACCCCTCAAAGCCTTCCTGCTGGCAGGGACCACCGTGACCATCGTGGAGGAGAAGGTGGGCAGAGGAAGCAACAGCGCTCAGCACTTAGCTCAGGACCTCAGGCAGCCTCTGTGGCATCTGCTCACTGCAATCATCGCCTGGCCCCAGATCCTCTCCTGGCCTGTGGCGACCCCTCCTAGCAACAGTCCTCTGGCAGCCAAGAAAGGGAAAGGGGCAAATGACAAGAAGAAGGACAAGGACAAGAAGGACAAAGACAGGAAAGACCAGAAGGGGAAAGCAGAAGAGCCCTCGAAGGTCAGCTGGTGTGGGCTGTGACATAGGCCCAGTGTGGCGAAGACGGGTGCCTGCCACAGTCCCCTGCCCACCCTCCCAACTCCCCGCAGGAACAGAAGGCTTCACAGAGGAAGAGAGATGCCCCCAAGGAGCTGCGCCAGGACCCACCCGTGCTACAGGTGCTGGGCAGCAGCCTGGTAGCTCTGGAGCCACTCCTGACCGGGGAAGCCGTGGTGTCCACTGTGTGCAACTTTGGGGTGGTTCGCACCCCGGAATCAGACAGGCTGACATTTGTCAGGGTACCGTGGGGTCTGCCACATCCCTTGACCTCTACCCTTGTCCTCCTCTGGTTCCCAGCCACAGCCCTGGGGGACAGAGAGCTGGGTGGGCAGGGCAGGGACTGGCCCAGGGCTGGAGGTGAGAGAGGGGACACAGCCACCACCTCGGGGTGGCCCATTTGGGCAGCTGTTCATCAGGGCACTCCTAAAGAGAAGAGCAGGAGTATTCCTGCTCCTTACTCCAGGGAGGGGCAGGAGTCCTGGGACAGCCTGGGCCTGCGCTTGCTCCCCAGCCTCCCCTCAGCAGGCTTCTCACTTTGTGAATGTCTCTCTCACAGGACTCAAAGAAGATTAAGAAAGGAGCCAAGAAAGGTAAGAGCCACAGTGGAGGGAGGTGACAGCAGGTGTGCGCCACCCTGCTCTGTAGCTACAGGCGGGGACTGACATCACATGTGAGGAAAGAACCCCATAGTCTCCCTGAGCAGCCCATAGTAGTCCCTAGAGCACAGAAACTAGACATTCTGGGTAGGCACCAGGATAAGGTGGGGTGCAGGCTCAGAGCTGGGGTGCCAGGCAGGGTGGGCACACCTGTGATCTTGGCACTCCAGAAGGCTGAGGTAGGAGGATTGAAATTTTGAGTCCAGCGTAGGAAATCTAGCTAACACCTTGTCTCAAAATTTAAAAGGGGGGGGGGCTGGTGAGATGGCTCAGTGGTCTAAAGCACCTACTTAGAACAAGCTTAGCAAAGGACCGGGACCGAGGTTCAATCCCCCAGCACCACATGCCAGCCAGCCCCGCCCCCTGGTGGGCTGAGCTACACACACACACACACACACACACACACACACACACAAATAAATAAAATTAAAAAAAAAATTTAAAGGGGGGGTGGCGATGTAGCTCAATGTGAGGGTCCTCCTGGGCTCATTCTCCAAATGTGGGTTCTAGATACTCTTCCTTGGTGTCAGGACAAGTTTGGTAAGCACTAGTTTCTTATCCTTCAAGGATAATCTATATTGATGATTTTTTCCCCTCGCAATCTGTCTGTCACTAAGCCTCACTGGTGCACTGTGCGTTCTGATGGGGTGTTTTATCGCTGTGTGACTTGTAACATGAATAAAATATTGTGTGTATTGTAAAACACTAGTTGGCCGTGTTAGGCAGGTCTCTCAACTGTTGACATTTCTTTTTCTTTTTCTTTTTTTGAAAAAGAGAATAAAAAACAGTAGGAAAAAAAGAACATTAGAAATTATACAGAATTTCACTAAACAAAATAATAGGAATTCAACAGTGGTTGTTAGATTGCATAATGTCTTCACATTAGTTGTTTAGATTACAGATACAGACATGTTTCTTTAAACATCCCCAGAGCACATTCTTCACACCACTACTCACGTCACTAGAAAAAACTGCATATTGATTGAGTGCCTGACGACTGATACAATGTTTCCAAAATTCTGATTTCGAAAGTTCAAATGACAGAAATTTAACAAAATGCTTTCACTCAGCTCTTTTTCTTGGAGTGCCTCATTTTTTACTTTGTGTTTAACTGCTACTCTGTGCGGTCACGCAGACAGCTGCCCTTCCTAACGACCCGCTCCAGCGCACGAGGGTCTCCCGGGATCCGCCGTCCACAGCCGCGGGCCGCCCTGAGGCGGAGCCTCCGGGTGGGGGCGGGGAGCGAGCTGCCGGCGCTCGGACTCATGCGCTGTGCCTTGATTTTCCCAGAAAAGTCGAAGTCAGTAGCTCCGGTCTTCGAAAGCGACTACCAGCCTGAGCCACTGACTGTGGAGGTCGAGATCCAGCTGGGCCAGGTCCGCTCGGTGGAGGAGGCTCTGCGCGCGATCGCCAACCAGGCGCGGGCAGAGTAAAACCGTGCAGAGTGAAACCATGCGAAGACCTTAGCCCGAGTCATGCTTGTCGGGACCGGGACTGGTGCGGCGCCCCCTGGGTGCGGGAGAGGGGAGCAGGTGCAGCGCCGGGCGGTTAAGGCAGCTCACGCGGGTGGACGAGAAGACCAATCACCTGCCGCTTCCAGAAGCCCCGCCCCACCCTCCTGGATGAAGCCCCGCCCCCGAGCACGAGCTTTGTGCACCTGAGCGCAAAGCGGGCGCTGGGCAGGCGTTGTGCTCAGGTCCGAGGGGGTCTACCATGAGGGCCCGGGCACCCCCGGCAGCTGTTAAAGACCGTGTCGCCTTGCAGAAGGACCCCACGCTGGCTCTTTCCCGCTCTGAAGGTAGTCCGGACACTGTCACACAGGAATGAACGCGGCCCCTCAGGACTGCGTCCCGTTGGGTCTGCGCGCCCCTGAAGGACACCCAGGAGCGGGGACACGGGTGGCCCTGCGGAGGGGGTCTGTGCCAGCCCTGAGCTTAGCGCCCCCTCTGCCCACCTTGGAGCCCGCAGGCCCCAAGCTGCGGTGACTCGCCTCGCTCTGTCAGCCCCTGGGGGCTCCGGCCCTTCCCGCCGCGTGCCTGCTCCATCCGCCTGCCGCGCCCCTGCCCTCCTCCGCAGCTCGTGTGCTAAGGTCCCTCTGAGGGTGCTCTCTCGGTTGCCTTCTCCCCGACATTTCCTCCCAGCGCATCAGCCTCCCTGAGGGGCAGCCCTGCGTCCACTGCGTCCAGGGCACAGAAGAGGAGTGGGGGTGCGGTGGTAATGGAGATGAGGGGTGGCTGCGGGTGACAGGACGGAAAGTGCAGGTGCCGTGGACCTTGGGCGGGTTGTTGGGGGGACACACCTCAGCCTTCTCCACGTGCAGGGGGCGAGGGGGGTCGTCGGAAGAAGCCAGCTTTCAGTGGCTCTTAAGTCCCCAAGGCCCATTTTCCTGATCCAGGCGAGCTGCGTGTGTGCAACTTTGTCCTTTCCCCTAGTTTAGCATCTGGAAACGCAGACCGCCTGGGGCTGAGGTGCAGGGAGTTGTGCAGAGGCCACCCGTCGGTTTGCTGTTTTTCGCCCACACCAACGATGTCAGCGCGCAGGGAAAGGTCGTGGGCATTGGTATAACGCCATAAGGCGTTGGGGAGGGCGCTGGCGGCAGAGCGGGGATGCGCACCCTGTCCATAGAGAAAGGGGCCTCTGCTGGGCAGGCAGGCTGTGCTCCGGAGGGGGGCGCTCTCCCTTTGGGCCTCAGCCGGCCGTCTGGGCAGGCTGTTTCTCTTGGGCTTTGCGTGCTAATTCCACAGCCCTTCTGGGCAGCCCGTGCCAATGCCTTCCTGTTCCTGCCCAGCCATCCCCACCTCTTGCCACTGCTGGAACTTCTCCACCTTGCTGGAGCCTTGGAGCTGTGCCCGGGACACCTTCCTGCCCGTGGCCATCAAGTCACAGCCAGGCCATGTGGAGCAGCCCGGCGGTGAGCAGTGCAGGGCGCTGGGCCGGCTGGCCACGAAGCTGGTTTCTCCGCAGGGCGGGACTGTCTGCCCCAGCCCGGCTGCTGGCCTCTGAGAGCAGCTGGATGTTGCCAAGTTGCGATTTTCATCCCCATCCTCGGAGCTGCGCATGCAGCGCCCTCCCCGCGCATGCTAGGAAGATGATGTGTGCTAGAGTTCCTGAATGGCTGTGATTCTGCCCAGGGCCGCCAGGTGGGAACTGTCACCCTGCCCAACAAGAACCCCAGCATCAAGTAGCCATCGCGCCTGCCAGGTCCAGGGGCTCTACCCACCCTGCGCAGGTAACCTCCTGCGTGGCACCTCCAGCCCAGGAGGAGGCTGAGCTCCTCCCCATGGATGCGACCTTGCAGGCCTGTGATCAGCAGCCTGGCCCCTGTGGGTGCTGGTGACAGCTCAGGGTGCACATATGCAGCTACCCATGCCCCAGCAGCCCTGGAACAACTGCGTTGACTTTCTATCAAAAGAGGCACCTCGGGCACTGCTCCCTGCGGCCTACACGCAACACCAACCCCACCTGGGTAACCCGGCCTCCCGCCCTCCCTCCTGTAGCCGAACTAAGACCTGGAGGTGAGCATGTGCTGAAGGGGAGCCAAGGGCCAGCGCCGGTGCCAGGATCTGCAGGGCAACTGTGAGGCTAATGGGGCACTGTCTTTCTGGGAAGTGAAGGGAGGCCCCAAAGGAGACACACACACTCTTTTTGAAATGGAAAAAAAAAAAATTCTCTTTTGGATAGAGAAACTCCAAGGACAGGAGGCAAGGCCAGGGCAGGCACATATTGGGGTTAGTTCTGTTGCGAGAACGGGGTACACATACCCACCCTGCCCAGTCTCCACTCCTTGGCCCAGCCGCGCATTCAGCCTGGGGCCTCACACACGAAGAGAACTCCCCAGAACAGATGCTCCCGCCCTCCAACTCCAGCCCCCGGGAGGGAGCAAATGCTAAGCGGTACCTTGGTATCCGAGTAACACTGAAAACTAGAGCTAAATAGCTGTTGAACATTACAGCATGACAGAGAGGGGACCCCCTAGGTGGCCCAGGTTGGCAAAACAGGTGTGAGGTCATCAGACAGGGAGCGCGCCGCCATTGAACAACTTCGTGAAGGAAAGGCCGGCCCAGGCGCTCACACGAGGCCCTATCAGCCAGGCAGCAGCTGCCGGCCGGCCGGGGTGTCTGATCCTCAGTCCTCGCGCAGGTAGGCCTCGTGCTCCTGGTCGGCCCTTTCCTCCTCGCCCTCCTGCACTTTCTGGCGCAGCTCTTGGGTCTGTGCCTCTGCAAGCTTGGCTTCCGCTTTCTGGCAAAGCTGGCGCACCTCCTGCACCTGTGACTTCACCAGCTGAATGTGATTCCTGGAGGTGATTGACGCCTGGTCAGCTCCTGCCAGAAGATGGGACGACGGCAGTAAGCAGCCGGCAGGGCAGAAGGCACAGCAGACACAGGAAAGCCTGGGGTTCTGGGGCCACCTTCCCTCCTCCACGGCAGAGCAGAGCGCCTGCACCCGCATCCGGATCTACCTACCAGACCTCAGTATTTCTCTTCAGCTCAAGGAGCTAACGTATTTATAAGACCCAACTTCCACAACCATCTTTATAGCTACACAGCTCTTGGTACTGACCTTTTAAGAATTGAAGTATTAGTAAGTTACATGTTTCTTCTGGACAAACTAAGGTATCATGAATAAAATTTCCAAAGAGCTACTTAATCTTCAGAGATAACCTCTTGGAAATTTAGAGAGTATATCTCTCCCTTTTAAAATGTGTCTATAGGGGCTGGGGAGATGGCTCAGTAGAATAAGCGCTTCCCTGGCAAGTGCAAGGGCCTGAGTTCAATCCCTGGTTCCGCCAAAAAAAATAAAAAATAAATAAATAAAATGTGTCTATAAAAAAAAAGTGTCTATAGGGATTGGAGAGATAGCATGATGGTCTAAGCACACGCCTGGCAAGCACAAGGACCTGAGTTCAATTCCCGGTACCACATGCCGTGCCACCCTGGGACGCTGGGTGCACCGTGATGGCCACTAAAACCAGGTGTGGTGGCACATGCCTGTAATCCCAGTACCGGGGAGGATGAGACAGGAGAATCACTACAAGTCTGAGCTGCATGGTGAGACCAGGTACCAAATAAGATTTTAAATGTGTCTTTAAGCTGGGCATGGTGGTGCATGCCTATAATCCCAGTACTTGGGGAGGCTGAGACCAGTCTGGGTTACACAGTGAGTTCAGAGACAGCTTGAACTGCATGGCAACAGCCTCTCAGTCAAGCCAAGCAACGAAAGAAAGCACCCATATAATATAAAATGCATAGAGAACCACTGTTACTACAAACCAGAGGTGACCAGCCTTTCGAGCTCTCACCGTGGCACATGAGCCGTGGGTCAGCCACAGCTGCTATGAACATACGATGGCAGAAAAGCCAGTGTACTGAATATACTTTATAATTTTGCTTTTTTATTTTTTAGAATTACTTATTTTTTGGCTGGCACGTGGTGCTGGGGATGGAACCGTGGTCCCCAGCCTGCCTAAGCTTGCCTAAGCAGGTGCTTTAGCCCACTGAGCTATCTTGCTGGCCACAAATTTTGCTTTTTTTTTTTTTAAATTATTTATTTTTTATTTATTACACTTATTGTGTGTGTGTGTGGCCAGCTCAGCCCACCAGGGGGCAGGGTTGGCTGGCACGTGGTGCTGGAGGATCGAACCGCGGTCCCTGTGCTTTGCCAAGCTTGTTTCAAGTAGGTGCTTTAGCCCACTGAGCCATCTCTCCAGCCCCAAATTTTGCTTTCTTAAGTGTCCTCACTGCTGGGGAACCTCGCATACACGCGCCTTCCCTCGTCTCTCTGCAGCACAGCCAGGCTGCCCTGCCCTTCCGCATTACCAAGGCCCTTCCACAGTGCGGGCAGGCAGTGAGCAGCAGGCCAGGTTTGATTTCTTAACTTGACAGAAACACTTCTGATATTTCATTATTAAGTAGGACTGCTTATCCTTTATCATGTTAAGAAAACTGTCTCTTCACTATTCATAAACGGATACTATATTTTATAGTGCTTCTATACTATATTTTATATGTGCTTCTTGGCACATTTTGATTTTCTCTTTTAATTACTGTAAATTATCTCAAGTTGTGAATCACACTGGCAGATTTTTCCCTGGTGAAATATTGGTGATTAAATCTGATTTAATCTATTTTTAGAAGTGATACTGAAATACAGTTCTTATCTGGATGCGGCTCTCGTCCCGTCTGCAATCTGTACCTGCTGGCTCCCCTACCAGGCCTGCTGCCAGCTCTGCATGCTGGTGTGCTCGCTTGCGTGCTTTTTTGTTGTCTTTTTGAGACAGGGTCTCGCTATGCAGTCCAGGCTGCCTTGAGCTCACTTTACAACTCTGGCTGGAAACTCACAATGATCTGCCTCAGCCTCTGAGTGCAGGGATTATAGGCATGTGCCACCACGCCCAGCTGGTATGCTTTCGGCAATGCAGGAATTATTATTTTTTGTGGTACTGGGTATTGGGCATAATCCTTCACATTGAACTACACCTGAGGCCTGTTTTTCGATTTTTAATTTTGAGACAATCTCCCCGAGTCGCTAAGTTGTCCAGGCTCAGCTCATATTTGCTCCTCCTGCCAGCCTCCCAAGAGCTGTTCCAGGTGTGTGCCACTGCCCCCGGCAAGCCTGCGGTGTCCTTATTGATGTTCCTGGGGATTGAATCTAAGGCTTTCTTCACTCCTTTTGAGTCAGGGTCTTGCACTAAACACTAAGTTCCTCAGGGTGGGTTCAAACCTGTGCCTCAGCTGTCAGAGTGCTAGGATTATAGGAGTCAGTCACCACCACTTCAGCCTAGCTGGTAAGGGTTTTTTTTTTTTTTTTAATTTTTCAGCTGGTGGTTTTTAAGAAGCATGTTTTTAATGTTTAAGTCTGCAGTGCTGGGAATCCAACTGCAAGTACAGGCCCTCGTGCGTGCTAGGTAAGCACTCTCCCACAAGCTACATATCCAGCTCAAGAAGCATGTTTCAGATTTTATACAAGGAATTTCTGTTCTGGCGGCAGGCTGAGAGTCAATGAACGTTAAAATTTTAACAGTCTGTCAACTGGTACAAAATCAATTTTTGCACATGTTTTATGTCTGAGTATGTGCTTCTTGTGGGAAGAGGGTAAGTTTTTTGTTTGGTTAAATTTTTAAAAAACTATTCTAGGCCAAGAATATAGCTCAGTGGCACAGCATCTGCTGGGCAAGCTTTGCACTTGAAGTTCGATTCCTGGTACTGAGGGGGGAAAAAAAAGCCTTTTCTAAAACTATCCTACAGTCCAGGGACATAGCTTAGCAGCACAGCACCTGCCTGGCAAGCACAAGGTCCTGAGTTCAATTCCCATTACAAAAAAAAAAAAAAAAAAAAAAGATTAAAACTGTTCTGTTCCAACCCTGAACTGCTTTAGTTTTCTGGCTTTACGGATGTGTGTCTCTCTGAAATGTGTATAAGGCCTAACTTCTCCTTGTAATTCCATCAGCTTTGCCTTACTAGGTCCACACTCACAACAGATACTGCTGCTTGTTCTCCACCCCATTTATTGCATTTGCCTTCTTCTTCTGCCTTTTGATGTTGCTATTAACCCTTTTGTAAGGGCTCTCTGTTTTGTTAATTCCTCAGTTTATCTTTCTATAGTTTTCTACCTTTTTTCCATTTTGTTTACTCCCAGCACTCTGGGAGGCAGGAGGATTGTAAATTCAAGACCTTGTCTCAAAATAAAAAAAAAAAGGGATGGAGACGAAATCAGCGTGAAGACTCTGGGTTGAGTCCTCAGTGTTGCCAAAAAATAAGTAAAACAAATGGGCATTCATCCACTGGAAGGACAGTGATATTCAGAAACACTTTAGTAAAATAAAAAATAACAAAACTGCAAAGCCGGGCATGGTGGTGCACACCTACAATCCCAGCACTCAGTAGGCTGAGGCAGGAGGGTTGTCATGAGGTACAGGACAGCTGGGATACATAATGAGCTCAAGGTGGGCCTGAACTACATAGTAAGTCCCTGTCCCAAAGCATTTAAAAAACACTGCTTTTCTATGTTGGGGCAGGTTAGGTCACTGAGGTAACAGAGGACAACCTTAGCTACCAGACACAAAGGCCTCAGAGTCTGACCCTCTCACCCAGCTGCACCTTATGTGGCCACACACTAACTATACAGTGGCAGGTTAAATGTCACCCAGTTTCTCTGGCTCCAAGTGGAAATGGTAACAATAGTTTCTATTTTAAGGGAACTGTAGGCATTAAAAATGCTTATGTGGGCCGGGGAGATGGCTCAGTGGAATAAGCACTTCCCTGGCAAAAGCAAGGGCCTGAGTTCAATCCCAGGTTCCACCAAAAAAAAAAAAAAAATGCTTATGAAATGCTTTGAAATGCTTGCTACAAAGCCTGAGATAGACAAATGCTCAATAATTTCTACTGGCTATGCCACTAAGATCCCAAGTCTTATTTCTCCCCTTTGTACAAAAGGCTCATGTAAGGGGATTAGCTCAAGTCTCATCCACTGTGGCATTTTATGACTCTTAGTAAATTGTCTACGTTATGAAAAAATGTTTATGTTGGAAACACTGTCTGATGGTAATAGTTTTACAATTTATTATTTTCTTTATTCTAGATCTTGACAGCCTACCTTCTATGGCTCTGGTCTACAAAGTTACACATTTTTCCTACTGTGCAAATAAAATGTTGCTTAATTTCTAATAAAGTTAGTCATACTGGGTGTCATCAATTAGTCCAAATCCTTCATTTTACACCTAAATGAAAAAAAATCAAACAGCATCCCCTTATAGAAGACAAAAACAAACAAAAAAAAAAAAATGCCTTTAGCTTACCAGTTTGGTACGCAGCTTCTGCTGCCATTTCTGAAAGACTAACTGCAGTCATCCAGGTAGTTTCCAGCTTCAAGTACTCTTGCTGTTTGGAAGTCATCTATAAATTCAGAGACACAAGGAGGCATATTAAGCAGATGCGTTTGAGCAGTTACTGATCAGACCTCTTAATTCAAGAATTCAGGTTTCACAGAGGCAGGCAGATGAACAAAGAAGTGCCTTGCAACATTTTGCTCACCTCAACTCGGGCTCCTATGATCACTTGCCACACTTCATCTTCCTCCTGTGAATTCATTTTCCCCAGTAAATTTGTATATTGTCGGTACAGAGAAATTAACGTATAAACAGCCTACAAAATAGAATGAACAAAAAAATGAGGCATATTAGGATCAGTGACACATCTCCAGGATGTCAAGTCCCTTTATAGCAAAAATGGCTCTCCAGCCCTTGTGCCTCCCTGAAATCATGCTACTGTACGAGGTGGCGGGAGCAGCATCGTTCCAGGACGCTAGTTTATGTGCCTACCTGTAAATCTGATTTTTTTGAGTCAGTATTTCACTATGCTGTCCAAGGTGGCTGGGAACTTGTGTTTTAGTTTCCCAAGTAGCTGGGATTACAGGCGCACACTACCATACCTGCCTAATATCTGCTTTTTTAAAACAGACATGTTAGCTCCTGGGAGGCTGCAAACAGGCGGATCACTGAGTCCAATCTAGCAGTGAGACCCTGAACACCCTGTAGACCCTTCCGTAAAACACAAAAAATAAAAAAATAAAAAAATGAAACAGATGTTGCCCAGACTGGCCTTAAACTCTTCAAACTACTCAAAATCTTGAAATTAGTCACAGACAATTAAAAAAAAAAAAAAAAGAGTATCTCTAACCTGCAATAAAATGCAAATGCAGCCAGGCATGGTGGTGCAGACCTGTAATCACATACTTGGGAGGCTGAGGAAGGAGAATGCCTCCAGCTCAAGGCTAGCCTGGGCTACACAGTGAGTTCAAGCCAGCCTCCCGCACACCCCCACCAAAAAAAAAAAAAAAAAAAGCAAATGCAACCATCAGCCTGCATCCATTGGTGAGCCCTGGTATGCTAACTGCTGGCTTAGAAGATCAAGACTTAAAAGGTGATGTACCTTAGTGTATTCGGTGATTGCTTCAATCAGCGCATAAGTGGTCTGAGAGAGAAAAGTACAGGTGCTGTCCGTTACCAGAGACACAGCCCTTCTCATTAGTGCTTCATTACTAAGAGTATGAGGCTCCGATTTCTGAAAGACACAAATATCATCAGTCAACTCTCAGCCTAAAGCTCAAGCCGAGAACCTCATCACAGACATTTAAGAAAAAGCCTGATTCTCATGCTGGTTTAATGTTTTAAGCTGTAACTGTTACTTCTCTGGGTTAACTTCTTAGGCTTTCTGTTGGCAACATAAGACAATGTAGGGGAAGTTACTCCACAGTATGCTTTCTACTTAAACTTATCTGCTCCAGAGAACAAACTTTTTTTGTTATTTTAGAGTACTAGCCCTTGAACCCAAGGTTGCATGCATGATAGGCAACCATTCTACCAGTAAGCTGCATCCCTACCCCTTTCTGAGATGGGGGTCCCACTACGTTGCACAGGTTCCTTAAAAAACTTCACAGATGAAGTGGAAGTCACAGCAGTTATTTTCCTAAAAGGTCACAATCTTGCCCTCAAATTCAAATCTTGTCCTCTCAAAGTCTGTATGCCCTTTCCTGTATGTCCTTTCCTGTATGCCATTCTGACTCACAAAAGTGCCAAAGAAATTATGATCAAACATCAAAATATATAATAAATGGCCAGAAGGAGAGGGATGATTATTGGCTGGGAAAGGTTTCAAAGAGGTGGGGCTTGGCACAGGAGACAGAATTAGAGTGACCAGGTCTCCTAGGAAAGAAGAGAGGATGAGGAAAAAGAGTGTATTTGCTGCTTGTTTGCAAGCAGTGTCCAGGAATCTAGTCATACTGGCACTGGTGAAGACACTGGAATGCAGGAAGTTACGATATTAGTTCTATGACACACAGTGAGAGGGACCAGGGGTTCGAAAGAATAGAGGTGGGAATGCTGAACTATAGGAGAACGACTATTGCTCCAGACACGTGGCCCAAAACTGAGGGAATTGGGTTTAGAAAACACCACAGTACATGAACTCAGAAAGGACAAGCCCAAGAGTCCTGGGAAGTCATCCTAATAGTGACAGAAAATGGCCTAGTGTTCACATGAGGATTTTAGGGCTCGAGGCTCACCAGCATGCAGAACTGAAATGAATATAGGAAGTTGAGGGCTTGAGCCTCAAAAGATGCTGAAAACACCAGCAATAAGTGAGATCAACATTGTTATAAACATAAATGTATCAGGAATATTTTGATGAAATAAGGCTTGCTAGTTTCCTGCTTAGTTCTTCCTCATGAAGCATATAGCCAGTGAGTCTTAAAATCACGTGGTACTTTGATATTAACCGCTTGACAGACAAATCCACCTAGATTTTTTTTGGTATTGGCAACTGAACTCACAACCTTGAGCTCACAGGCAGGCAGGCACTTATGCCACTGATCTACATCCCCAGCCTCCACCTAGATGCCTATGGGACACCTCAGACACTTCCAAAATGGACAAATTTCTTCTTTTCAAAACTCTTTTACATCTTAGTAAATGTCAACCCATTCTTTCAGTTGATTACTCCATTAAAATAGCTAGAAACATCTTGAGAAATAGGTTATCCACGTCTAATCCGTACTGGCCACATTACGCCAACTTCCCCATCTTCTCTACCTGCCTACTCCAAGCCACTATCATTTCATGCCAGGATTATCGTTATGAGCCTATTAGTCCTCCTAGAGCCACACGAGCACCAATTAAAAACATGTCAGATCTCAATAGTCAAGCAAAAATCTGCTATGGCTTTCATTTTCAGAATAATACCCAAAGCCTTACAATGGTCCACAGAACACAAAATTTGATCCTCAGTTAAATGGCCCTGTCTATGATGGCTTCCCTAACTCATTCCTTTGACATTCTGGCTCTCTGCTTTTAAAAAGTCCTTTTTGGGCCAGGGACATAGTTCAGTGGCTTAAACACCTGTCTGAAGAGTGTAAGGTTCCAAGTTTGACCCCTGGTAGCAAAAAACAAGTCCTTCTGGCTGTTTTCCCTAACCAGACATTTTTATGGTGTACTCTGGAGATGACTCAACTCTAATATTTTACTTTATTGGAGTAGCTTTTCCTGACCTACCCTTAGGTAAAACACTTAAGTAAAACACTGAGGTTGTCACCAGCTGACATTTTACATGTTTTTCCTTTCTTTCATCTTTCTCAAATGTTCAATAGTGGCAAGAACTTTCTGCTTACTCTCTGTTGTCTCTTTCACTATACAGTTCAGGCTGGCCTTGAATTCACTTCGTAGCCTAGGCTGGCCTTGAACTCGAAGCAATCCTACAGCCACAGCCTCCTGAGTGCTGGGACTACAGGTGTACTTACTCTCACTACATTCCCCATGTCTGACACATAAAAGGTGTTCAATTAAGCTTCTGCTGAATGGTAGACTATCTTAGTGACACACAATAGTCTCCTGTTCCACTCTACTCTTCATACAACCTAAGGTTCTACAAAATGAGACAGAGTGGGAGGATTAAGACATCTGCTGAACTCTGAGATGATGCTGATGCACAAGTATCACAGTGGGGGACCCGCAGCTTCCAGAACCGCAGGGCAGCAGTCACCTGAGCAACAGGCACGGCGCACAGGGCCACGCCGAATCCAGCCACCACGGTTTTGTGCCATGGTCTCAGCAGTTCCAACAAAAAGCGCTTCCTGGAGTTAGTCACGACAGGAACACACTGTCTGAGCCTAGAAACAGGAGTCGAACTTAATAAATAATAAAGGCACAACATCAATCTGTACAAGATTCTCATTTATTTGCAAGGGTGGGAAACTCAAATCGAGCCAAGCAGAAAATTCGGTTAGGACACGGTGGCCCCCGAAGATCCAGCACACTGGGGCGGGTTCGGGGAGCTTCCACCCCTCTGGAGGTTCACGGTGCCGCCTCCACTGCTCGGAACCAACGCCGAGACACACGCTGCCGCGGCGGCGCCCGGCTCCAGTCCCGGCCCGGCTCGGGGACTAAGGGTCCCTTGCTGGAGAAGACTTGGAGCCGGCGTCCAGGGTTCTGGGACCGCGCCCCCAGGGTCCCTCCCACGCCCTTCCCGACGCCTGGTCCTCCTCGCCCTCTACGTCCTCTAGAACTTCGACAGGGCGAAGGTAACTGGCGGCGGTTGAGGGCTGGGGACCGGCTTTCAGGGCACAGAATAACGGGAACTCAGTCAGCGAGAAAGTCCCTGCTTGACCTAGGGGCCGAGGGGGCGGGACGCAGCTCGGCGCCCAGCCACAGCGTTCAGGGTCCCCCGGCTCCTTCCGCTCCCGCCCATCTCCACGGCCGAGTGGTACCTCAAGTGGGAAGTTAAACTCCGCAACAGCCAAGTCCTCAGAGCCGCCATTCCGCGGGGGGCGGGCGTACGTCGGACGCGCTCGCCGGAAGTGACGCATCTCCGGGAGCCTCCGCGGGGCGCCGGCTCCCGAACCAGAAGGAACGCGGCCTCCTGGCCACGCCCCCACCCGAGGACGCAGTTGGGATTGGGCAGACGGGAAGGGAGAGGGCGGGACTCAGGGTAACGACCAAAACGGCTCCGGCGGGCGCCCAACCGCCGGAGTTTCAGCGCGGGACGAGGGTGTGGAGTGGAGTCGCGCATGGCGCTGCGGGCTTGGGCAGGGGGCTCGGGTCGGGGCTGTCTCTCAAGGAGGCACGGGTGAAACGAGGAGAGTTCGTTCTTTAGCTCAGGAAGCGGCTGAAGCGCGGGGTGGGGTGGGGGTGCTGTCACTTCAGTACCAGGAAGTAGGTGGTCCAGCCGGCCAGCAGCAGCGCCCCGACCAGCACAGTGTAGCTGAGCAGCACGAAGGCCAGCAGCTCCCGCAGAAGCTGCAGCATGTGGACGGCAGGCGAAGCCGGCATCGCCTGGGGAGACGGGGAGCTGAGCGTATCCGGCCACGTCCAGGCTAGGGACACTGACACGGGCGCCGCTGTCCCACACTGCCCCAGCTGCCAGTGCCGCCAAGGCTACCCCTTTTTCCGCCAAAGAGGCAGCAGCCTGGGCTGGAGGCCGGCCCTCTTCCGGCCACTACTGCATTTTTAATGCTGCTAATGGCAGGCAGAGTCAAGCTTCCTCTTCCCGCAAGCTGCAGCCCCTGCAGCTCCCATGTGCCCCCTGCAGCCCCCAAGTCCACCCTGTAGCCCCAAGTCCTCACTGAAGCTCCCAGGTTCCCCCTGCAGCCCCAAGTCCCCCCTGCAGCCTCTGGGTCCCCCCTGCAACCTCCAGGTACCTCATGCAACCCTCTGATTCCTGGGCCCCAGGGTCGCAGGCTTCGCGGATGCAGCGGGCACCAAGCTCTCTGAGGCCTGTCCCCTCATATCCCTGTGCACTGTCCCAGCCCTGCTGAGTCCTCTCAAATGGCACCTGATAGTGGGAGTCCCTGTAGCCCTGGCCGCAGCTCCCCTCAGTGCGGCCACTCATTTAATGAAGTTGCCTGACTCACCGAAGCAGCCTGCAGCTCCTTGGACTGTGCAGAAGGCTGGCTGTGCAAGCCAGCGATCCGGGCAGCTCTGAGGTCTTCAGGCAGCAGCCGCACTCAATAATAGGTGTGGTCTAGCGGCCAATTACAAGCTCCGCGTGGTCCCCGGGCGCTCAGTTGCTGCGGAGGGCAGCGCACGGTCCCAAGCCAGGCGGGCACTGCAACCCCATCTGTCCACCACTGTCACCTCTGCAAAGGTGACGCAAATGGGCCAAACAGTGACACACCTAGGAACATCTCAAGCCCCTCCTCATCCTACTTGTCTAAACACTCTAGGTGTGCTACCGTGCCAACAAACACCGTAGCTCCATTACTGAGTCGGGACAGAAACACTGCACAGCCATTCCCGACTAAAGCAAATGTCTCAAAGTACAGGCAAGCATGAACACGCACACGCATCCACAGAACCATGCTTCTGTGACCAAGGGCTCCACAGTGCTGGACTCCAGGGTTTCTCAATCCCCAGCCTCACTACACATGGGCCCTTTAACTTCAACTCTGCCATGATGAGGCAAAGAGGGCCAGCTGGGAAAGCAACAAGCCTTTCCCAAAAGTAACAAGGAAGGAAAAGAAAGCACAATTTTATGCTTCATCTGAGTATTTCACTTGAACCAAATATTAAAAGACCATTTTTTTTGACCTTGGGGAGGGGGACAGGGAGTGTGGACATCAACCCTTTCATAAACATCATCATCCAGAAGCAAATGGCTCCTTAATTTAATCAGGATCTCTTATTATCAAATCATTGCCTCGGCTGCAGCCTGGCTGAAATCAGGAGCAGAGCATTATCAAGCTGCACAGGAAGCCAGTGAGTAGTAATTGTTCCTCCACAGAACTGGTCATTTGAAGGGCTTCCATGTCCTGCCTACATATCGGAAAGAAAGGATGGCAGACACCTGTACAGTGCTCCTCACCGAGATGACAGAAGCAAAAGCCAGGCTGTGCGAAGTGGGCCCAATTCTGCTCCCTCTGAGGTCTCATATCCTTCACAAGTGTGCCTCAAACGGGCACAGTCTAGACTTTGCAGTCGCTTCTCACTCCCAGTAGGGACTTCTCGAAATGGGGTAAACGAAGCTAAGAAACACTACACAAAATTCACACAAATCTGCTTAGAAATAAGACACTGAGAAGTTTTATATCATTGCTTTTTCAATTTTCTGACAAAAAAGGATCCCCTATTTTCTACAGTATATCACTTAAAATACACCTTACTCTGGAGTGCAATTCAGAGTCTGCAGAAAACTGCAATGTCCGCAGTCCTGTGTCAAAGCCCCTCCCCTCCTCCTTGTTTCAGACACCTGATTCAATATTTTTAACTACTTTTGCTTGAATTCAACTTTACCGAATTGCGTCCTGTGATGGGCCAGTCTTGGGAGAGAGCTGAGGGTTGGAGCCAAGGCCTCCCACAGGCTAGGCACGCTCCACCAAGGAGCCACACCCCAGCCCCGCTGGTCTTCATGCACAACAGAGAGCAGTCAGAGCCGGGCATGTCCTGATTAATCACATCCACTTCCAGTGAGACCAGGGCTCGAAATGAACAGAACCCACACCAAGACCTTCCCGGTTCTCTCCAAGAATTAAACCAACTGTTTTTAATCTTTGCTCCCTGAATCATTACTCCTTGCTCCACAATTAAAGCACAGTTAAGATATTTCTCTGTTGGCCGCGATTCAAAACCATAGAAGACACAAAACAGTGTCTATGTAGGCTTCTTTTCTAAGGGACTGCTTGTGTAGCAGAACTGTCTACCCAACTAGACAAAAGTCCAGACATGATGTCAACAGTCCACCCTCTCCAGGAATAAATGTACCATTCACATGGCCCGTCTTAGTAAAGGCACTCTCCTCTGAGGCAAAGACGGTTTCGAGTATTAAATGAACTTAGACAAAGACACAATGCTCCACCACTATTTGTATACAAATGAAGCAATTAATGTTTTTTAAGTCTTGTGCTGCATGCATTCTGAAGAGCTGACCTAGCTATGTCTGAACAAGTAGAGTCATGAGAGAATGCAGACACATGAGGCTAAAACTGAGAAAAGCCCCTGCCAACAGGACTTGACCAGACTTGAATTGAGTCCCACGAGCCAGAAACACTGAGCAGCAGGCAGATTCATTCTCTAAAGCAGCTGGGGCCAACAACTGCTGGGGTTCAAAGGTATAAACTAATCTCCTTCGGATAACAAGTATTAGAAAAGGATTCTCTAAAGTAAGACTGGCTTTCCATCTGGGAATAGTTTTCCATTTTCAAATATTGAACATCAAGCCCAAATTAATTCCATGAGAAACTAACCTCTTTAACATTATCTCTGCTACCTCTTCATTCTGAATAGGTTTTGGTTGTCTGAGATAGGGTCACACTTTGTAGCCCAGGATGGCCTCATCCTCCTGAGTGCCAGGATTACAGGTGTGCACGAACACACTTGGCTGGTTTTTCTTTTTCTATTTTAGGGAAGGCCTACAGGGTGTTCAGGGTCTCACTACTAGATCGGACTCATAGTGATCTGCCCATGTACAGTCTTTTTCTTTTTTCAATCCAGAAGTTCTCCCACTCATAACATGCAATGTAGCTATCAGAATTGGGGGATGGGTAGGAGGTGGGTGAGGGAACAGCCTGTAATCCCAGCACTCAGGAGGCTGAGGGAGGAGGATCATCACAAGTTCAAGACCAGCCTGAGTTATAAAGTGAGCTCAAGGCCGGCCTGACCTACACAGAGAGACACTGTCTCAACCCAAACAAAATTCCACTAGTGAGAAGGTGAGAGAAAAATGTGTGGCTAGTGACCTGGAAACGCTGGGGACCAGCTAATTTTGCTGGAGACCCAGGCATCAGCAGCGGTGAAGCCATCACTGTGGTCTCCTGCTGGTCCCCTGCCAGACACCAGGCTGAGGAGGGAGGTGGGAAACGCACATGAACCTCTGACGGCTCTGCCCTCCACCACAGCTAACAGGCCCAGCAGGAGTGGCCGCCATGGCTTCCGGACTCTGTCAATAAGATCACTCCAGAATGTCCAAGGTCACCAGGTCAGGGGCTGAAACAGAGCTAGGTATTCATAGGCACAATGAAGACAAGAGGCTGACTCCGTGTGGCCACAGACTACCCCAAGAGTGCAGGTGGCAGTTACCATGGAGACAGAGCAGCAAGAAGAGTTCCACTGCTCACGGTGCAGCAAGCTAGAGCTGAGCCCAGGATGGACGGGGAATAAAAGCGACATGCTGGAGTTACCACCGCGTGCATCGAGAAAGTCTCTGAATGGCTGAGCTCTCTGGAAGCATTCCCCAGTTATTCTGATCATCAATGCAGACAGCTGTTGGCGGTGTGGCACCTCCAGAGGCAGCTCGCCAGAGAGAGCAGAAACTTTGTTTCTGGGTAAGAACCTACCTCAATCCTCTTCCTTCTTAGAAGTAAACACAACTTGCTTAGATCAGAACACAGTCAGAGACAGAGTGCCTTCCTCGTCAGGGAGGGGCATTCAGCCACATCACCTCCAGCCTTCCACACACAACAGGGCGCCACATCCCAGGCACGGTATGTCTCCCAGGAATGCAGCCCTGTGGACCAGCGCTTGACGTTCCACTTTTATTTTTGTTCTGACCTCCTCAGTCTCTGTTCTCCTAGTTTAAGAACTGTATTCATTTCTGAGGCTGTTAAGATTCTCCATCTCCATGATCCCTGCTGTACGCCTGGAGGCCTCTCATGATCCTGAGCTCAGAAAATTTAAAACCAGTGTGTCTTTACCCAGGCGGATCCTCTTCTTTCTCCATGTAATTAAGAACACAAAAAAGAAGAAACAGTAGTATAGGAGACAGACCCCAAAGTGATGACTTTCATATTCCCCTTTCTTCTATGGGGTTTCCCTTCCTTTTAGCAACTTCTTCAAAACGGCAGTTCATCGGGCAGCGCACGTGCCATGGCTAGGAACACTCTAGAAAGGTTTTTCCATTAGCGCCTCCATCCAGCTGGTTCCGTTCATTAGCTTAGTGGTGGCAATGACATACTCCGTACCTCCATCTTCCAGCTGGGACAGAAAGCGCAGGGCAGCAATTTCAGCGAACGTTACGCCCCCGAGGAAAAATATCAGAGTGACTCGGTTTTCTCCTGGTTGCCCTAAAATATATGTATTTCAGAATTTAGAATTATTACTGGTGCTTGTCTTTCTGCATCAAAGTATTTTTTTCATTGCTAGGAATAAAAAGGTCAAGTGCATCTTCGGACAGACAGATCATATGAAACTTAAGGAACATTGATTTGTGGGGCTCTTTTGGCAGTACTGAGGATCCAAACTGGGACCTTGTGCCTGCCAGGCAGGTGCTTATGTTGCTGAGCTATATCCCTGGCCCAAGAACACGGATTTTGATCTCAAAGCTTTTTTCTAACTCTGGAGAGCCTCAAGGCTCTACAAGCTGCTACTCCTGAGGGAAAAATGTGGCTTTTGTGCTTAAGATATACCTTAGCAACGAACAAGAGCTGGGTCTGACCGACTCCTAAGTACTGCTCAAACCTTTCACACAGTGACCCACAATACAAGAAAACCACAGTAACGGCACGTAATTACTCACAGATGCTGCGCACGGAACTTACGTTTCTTCTGCAGCCCTGTGGGCAGTGGCTGGCGCTCTTCAAAGTGGGGTCCGGGGAGGATGCGAAGGACTTCCTCGATGCTCCGCCAGCCAGGCCGGGACAGCAGCTGGGCCAGCCGCACGCTGAGTGGCGCGTAGCCACTGTACACGTAAGAGATGTCTGTGGGGTTCTGTGCAGTGATTAAAGGGAAACAGAACCGGTGGGTAATGGGCTCGGGGGACCTATGGTCTTCTGAGAAACCCAGTGCATGTGATTGGAGGGCAGAGGCAGATGACCCCGGCTAGCTCCTGTTCCAACCCCGCCACACAGCCTCTGTCCTCAGAACCAGGGCTTCACTACTGACTCCGGGCAAGTGCTCAAAGCAGCTCTGGGCACTGAGGACAAGAAACTCCAGCTTTGGTGAGAAGCTTCTGAGAAGGGAACTGTGCGCGGCCTCCGAGCCCTGCAGCTGCACCTGAAGTGCTTGCTCTGCAGAGGCCTGCATGCCATCTAAGCGTGAAGCGTGAAGCGACCAACAGAGGCATGAGCTACAGCACTGTGGCGGCGGCGGAAGGCTGGGAACGTCACAGGAGAAGGTGCGACCGTAAGACCTCTGCCTAGGGGCTAGGGGTGGGGCTTGGGGGTCGAATGCTGAGAACTCGGTGTGTGCAAGGCCCGGAGCTCAATTCCCAGCATAGAAAGAAACCGAAACTCCCTCAGTAGCAATTGAAAACAATTAGAAAAAATGAGGTAGATCAATGAACGATTTTCAAGATTGTCCACTAAGTGGTGTGGGCGGATTTAGGGCAAGAAGTCAGAATAGCAAGAGAGCTCAACTAATACACGTACGATGACGCACACAATTAAGGGAAACTATTTTTCTACTGGGAAAAATAATTCAATTTTGCTACTGACAAGGAACTGTCGAGATCTTAGCTCTTGTTGCAAAAGACTGCCCTATGAAGACCTTTATGAAAAATCCAAACGGCAGTGAGATGAGATTTAGAAACATTACGATACACAATGAATATTTAAAAAAGCAGACCCTGCTTGCAGACCAGCAGTGCAGGACCTGCAAGGAGAGCTACTAACCGGCCTGTGCCAAAGCGGCGTCCTCGCCCCGCTCGCCTTGCTCTAGTATGGCTGCCATGTTCACGCGTCACCATCTCCACGCGCCCTCCTCCCCGTGGCGCTGGGCCCATCCCTACTTTCCTCACAGGAAGAGCTCCCCACCACACCAGCACTGGGCGGTCACCTGGTCACACATCTTTTAATCTCCCCTTAAATGCCCACGTTTCCTATGAGATCCTGACAGCCACAACACATGAATACACTGTTTTCAAAAACCTGAATTAGTTTCAGAAGGACACCTGTTGTCAATTAAGTGGCAGGTATCACCTCCATAGCCAAGCAGAGCCCAAGTGCAGGAAGGGATCTCACCTGCTCATTGACGTCATCCATCCAGAGGCGCAGCGTCTTCCGGATCGTCGGGTAACTGTTCCTGCCCCCCGTCTGTGGCTTCAGCAGGCCGGCCTTCTCCAGGTTGTGCAAGGTCAGGATGTGCTCGTAGCCGTAGGTCTGCAAGAGAAGCCCCTCAGATCTGAGGTCAGATCAGAAGCGCTTCTGCAATTCTCACAACAGAGCCTGCCCGATTCCCACTGAGGGGCACGTTACCAAGGTGCCAAGTAGACTGTGGACCACAGGAAGGCTTGGGGACAAGATGTGCGCACCTCATTTGACCATTACCACTAATCCAATTCTTTGTCTCACAGCAAGGTTTAAATAAAGTCAATATTACTGGGGACAACCTGAGCATCAAATGAAGTATAACAGACTTATACATGGGACATAATTATTAATAAAAAAGAATGATGCAGAGCTATACATCCTGATAAGGAAGAACTTCTGGATATACTTTTAAGGGCAAAAAGATGGTAATAAAATATGTATAATAGGATTTTGGGGTTTTGTGTGTTAAGAGGTTTTCACTATGTAGTTCAGGCTAGCCTTGAACTCACAGCAATCCTCCTGCCTCAGCCTCCCGAGTTCGGAGATAACAGGAGCATGGCACCATGCCTGGTTTATATAGTTTGTATGAGCTGTGTATAGTTTTGGTCTAAGCACTTTCTGTTTATTAATTCAGTTGCTCTTATGACCCCGAGAGGGAGGGATCATCACATCTCCACCAGACAGAAATGTTTAGGAAGTTGCCGAAGATCCCAGTGGCAGCAGAGCTGGGCCCTAGTGGGTCTCACCCTGAGGCACGTAGGCACTGTTGGTATGCACTTTGAGTTGAGCGGCTGTAAGAAGATAAGCCACATTTTGACATGAGTCACATCTGGGGAAGAAAAGAGGGCCAGGGAGATGGCTCAGTGGAATAAGCGCTTCCCTGGCAAGCGCAAGGGCCTCAGTTCAATCACTGGTTCTGCCAAAAAAAAAAAAAAAAAAAAAAAAAAGAAAACAGAGGCGCATCCAGGGATGGAGAAGCATGTACTTCATCCTGCTTCTGCACTGTTGGGGATATGACGAGCACTGTGTGTAACGTCAGACGGGTGACCCAATTCCAGGACGCCTGCTGTCTCTCAGGAGCTCTCCCTCCATAAGACTTTTCCATGCTTAAAAAAAGACGTGTAAAGGACTTGTCAGATAGCTCAGCAGATTAAAGCACCTGCTTAGGCAGACCCAGGGACGGGGACCTATCCCCTGCATGCTACGCTGGCCCTGCCCCAGGCTGTAGGAGCCAGCGACTGAGACTGGGCGCGGTGGTGCGCGCCTGTAATCCCAGCACTTGGGAGGCTGAAAACAGGAGGATCACTAGGAGTTCACTCTGTGTAGTGAGACCCTGTAGACCCTGTGTTAAATACATTAAAAAAAAAAAAAGAAGTGCAAGTCCAACCTGGGTAAGTTAGCAACTTAGCAAGACACTGTGAGAAGAAGAAAAAAGAAAAACGAACACAAAAGCTTAGTGCAAAAGTCCTGGGTTCAATCCCTGGTACAAAGACAAAGAAAACGACAAAAGCAAAATAAATTCAAGAGCATTTAATTTTAACAGCAATGTATTTCCTACAAGTGACTGAAAGTAGCACATAAATACTGCCTGAGATATCTTCAAATGAGAATTTTAAAACAACAGTGGGATTTTCCTCATGATAAAGCAAGAGATGTAAGTTGTAACTGTTGTCAGAAATCTGCAAAAAGTTCTCTTTTTTCATAACCTGACAAATTCATGAAGAAAATGAGTGTTAGGTCTGGCTGGCCTGGGTGGTCTTGGGCAAGGCTCCCCAGTAGCCTATGGCTCAGATTTTCATTTAAAATGAAGATACCAGGAGGCAAGACAGGGCTGTGAGGCTTCACTGCAAACAAAGCTCTTCTGCTAATCCCTGGTACACAGCAAATACTCAATAATCCTTTACCACTGTTTTTTTTTTTTTTTTGTTTTGTTTCGTTTTTGTGGAACCAGGGATTGAACTCAGGCCCTTGCGTTTGCCAGGTAAGCACTTATTCTACTGAGCCATCTCCGTGGCCCTACCACTGTTATTATACACATGTATAATAAACAGTGATGGAACAATTCCTCCAGGTATCAATTTTTTTTAATATACTTGGTACAGGGTCTTGCTACAAAGCTCAGACTTGTACTGGGAGCAATCCTCCTATTTTCAGCCTCCCAGCACTGGGATTACAGGTGTGTGCCACCACACCTGCTCTTGGTGGCCGGCTCAGTGCACCCAGGGGTGAGGCTGGCGCTGCATGTGCTACCAGGGATTGAACCCCAGTTCCTGTGCTTGCCTAGCCAGGTGCTTAGGCCACTGAGCTATCTTTTTTTTTTTTTAATTTTTTTTTTTTAACATTTTTTATTTATTGTGTGTGTGTGTGTGTGGCCAGCTCAGCCCACCAGGGGCCGCGGCTGGCTGGCATGTGGTGCTGGGGGATCGAACCGCGGTCCCTGTGCTTCTCCAAGCCTGCTCCAAATAGGTGCCCTAGACCACTGAGCCATCTCTCCAGCCCCCACTGAGCTATCTTAACAGTCATGGTATTGAAAGATTAAAAGGCCAGTGGTAATAACATACCAAAACAACAGCTTTGTGAAATACTTTTTAAAAAAAGACATTTTCTTTTTTGGCAAACTAAAAAAGTTATTTATTTATTTATTTTTGTAGTACCAAAGCACCTGCGCTTTGGACCCTGCGCTTGCCAGGCAAGCACTTATTCTACTAAGCTATCTCCCCAGCCCCAAAAATTTTAAAATATACTACCTGGAGAATTTCTCTTTTGTAATAATCCAGAACTTTCTGCTTGAGTCCGCTGTTGCACACAGACTGGAGGCAAACCAGCCTTAACACTTTGATCAGTGGGTGCTTTTGCGCAATACAATCCTCAATGTAATTGTTGACCTAGAAACAAAGCATTTATGCGGATGATCTTCAATGAACTTGATCTTGAAAATTTGATACTCAGTTTCTAAGTCCAAGAAAGGAGATGTGTAGGAGGATGGCCTACTTCCTTCTCTCCGCCCGGCACACCCGCCCGGCTTCCCCGCCCGGCTCCAGCCCCACAGACACGCCAGCTATCTGACCATGTCACAGAGGCACAGGGCAGCGAGGCCACCATCAGCCCATCGCAACGCCTGCTGACACCTGGCCCTGTGGCGGCCTCGAGAAAGGCTGCCCACCGCCCGGCGCTTCTGTGGCCTCATCTACCTCCAAAACAGCAACAACTTACGTAGAGCAGAGTGGTAGGAGTAATTTTAGAAGATGGGGACTTTCATATATTCAATTAAAAATTTTAATAGAGCTAAATATTTAAAGAAATATTATAAACAAATTTCTCAAGAGCAAATATTTTAGGTTTTGTTTCAGCCATACTGGGCCTCACACATGCTAGGGAGGCTCTCTATCACTGAGCTAATTCTCAGCCCCAAAAGCGAAGACCTTACAGCACTTAGAAGTTTTGGATTTCAGACAACAGTTCTCATCTCACCAGGTACCACAGAGCCGTCACACATAAAGCAATGCTAAATTCTGTTCTTCAATAAAATTCCTATTTGCATTCACATTTTGCCTTTGTTCATAAAATTAGACAAAGCACAGAAATCAGAGCCGAGTTTACGCGGCTATAACTGTATGTCTGATAAACTTTCAGCTATTGTTAGAGTGGTTTATTGTCTACGTACCTTATCAGTGTCTACTCCAGACATGAACTCCTGTTCCACTGTTAATTTATCAAAGAAGTCTTCAGAAGCTAAAATACAATTAATAAATTTACAACTTAGAAACTCAATAAATGTTAACTTATTCAAAGTGTGGGCTTTTATACATGAAGCATGATTAAGAAACAAAATATGCAGAAAAGCAAGGAAGCCTGAGTTCAAATTATCACCCAAAGAGAACTGTCAAGCGTGAAAAGCCTAGAACTCTGAATGAAATTACATCCAAACATAGCTGGCTACTGTACTTTTTCTGTCCCTAGATTTTATTTTTTTTTAAATGTTTTTTTCATTTTTTGGTACCAGGGATCAAACTCAGGACTGTGTGCTTGCCTGGTAGGTGTTTATGCCACTGACCTATCTCCCTGGTCCTGTTCCTAAAATTTAAATACAGATGTTGAAAGTGTGTATAATGAGTCTCAGTATCAATGAAAACAAATTTCCCTTTTTTTTTTTTTTAAACAGTCTCAATATGCTTTTAGGATGGTCTCAAACTTTCAAACGTGCAGCAATCCTCCTGCCTCAGCCTCCTGAGCGCTGGGACTGCAGGCACGCATCACCACCACCGCCTGGTGCTCCTGCCTTGTGATTTATTTAAGATACAAAGTATACTACATAAAACTTGGCACCAAACAATCTCCTATCCAGCCCTGTATTCTGATGGACAAACCTGATTTAATATAAAGCTGAGCTTTTCCTAAATACTCAAGTTAGGCTTTGTAGGCCAATCCTACAGAAAAATTTCAAGAGAAATCCAAAAACTCAGAAATGTGGTACTGCTCTAATTAAGAAGTCCTTCACAATGGGGGTGTGTGTGTGTGGAGGGGGACTAAAAGCATTAACTGCCTTATGTTATTATGAGAACAGTCTTAGGGGTAAATCTCTCCTCTTTATTCCAAATACTTCCTCACTCAGTCATGAAAGGAGTCAACCATAATGGACCGTTCTTACCACACACACACCAGCATGTGCGCCAAGACCTTGGATTCCAACCCAGAGCTAATCAGCAAGGCATCAGGGTGCCGACGATGGGGTGTTGGACACAGTGTGTGCGCGCGACCGCCCCAGACAGAAAGAACTGTACCCATAGTGCTCACTGGTCACGTCTTTGATCAACTCCGCGATAGAGGTGTGGTTGGCGAGTGAGCCGCGGGCAGCCTGCATGTGGGGCAGCTGGGACACGAACTGCTTGATCTCCCCCACTGTCTTGGCATTGTGCCGCTCCTGCAGGGCAGAGAGCAGCTCATCAGGGAGGATAGGTATTTCAGGGGACGTTTAATTTGCATAATGTGAAGGAAAGAATGGAAACATGAAGATCAGGCCAAACCTGACCCCAACATTATACGGAGTAACAGAGAAACACGTCACGGCAAGGTTCACGTGCCTGCCTCCCACACTCGCGCGGCCCCAGGGACAATGCCTGTGATTCTCTTTTCCTATGCAGCAGCTCACACCCAGTGTGAGGATGCCCAGGAGACTGTGGGCATCTGACCATTAGTGAGGTTAGTGTTAGGTAAGTCACACAAATTTCTTTTTTTCTTTTTTTTTTCGGAACTGGGGATTGAACTCAGACCCTTGCACTTGCCAGGCAAGTGCTTATTCTACTGAGCCATCTCCCCAGCCCCACACAAATTTCTGAGTGAAGAACTAAGATGGCTTGGCAGGTACCACGCCTGAAATTCTTGTACTCAGGAGGCTGAGAAAGGAGGATCGCCGCAAGTTTGAGGCCAGCCTGGACTACATAGTGAGACCCTGTTTCAAAAACCAAAGCTAAGATGAAAAATTAGGACACAAGCAGAAGGGACCACGAGTGCAAAGCTTCCTATGCGTCAGGAGCACATCCAGCCCAGCTGCCAAACCTTAATCTTGAGGACAGCCTATAAACAAAGGGAAACCTGCTTAGCAATGAGGACATATTTAAGGGCAAAACACTCAAAAGCATCATCAAAAATAGGAAAAGTCGGGGGCTGGTGAGATGGCTCAGTGGTCTAAAGCACCTACTTGGAACAAGCTTTAGCAAAACCCAGGGACCACAGTTCGATCCCCCAGCACCACATGCCAGCCAGCCCGCCCCCTGGTGGGCTGAGCTGGCCACACACACACACACACACACACACACACAAAAATAGGAAAAGTCACTTAATGTAATTCCTAAGAAAAGTAAAAACCTGCAGCCACATGCTCAGAGAAAGATAAGTCTTCAAAAACTTCTAATTTATATCTCCAAACCTAACTACTCAGAGCTGACCAGCCTACTGAGCGCCCATGTTTCAGAGGGGAGGCAAGACCAGGCAGGAAGGCGCTCACGAAGCCTCCGGTCCCGAAGCTCCGGCTGCCGGCTCTCCAGCCCATTATCACCCGCCACAGGCGGACGCAGGGCCCGCACCTGCAGGGACCAACCTGGGACACATCGGGAGCTGCACTTCTGTTACAGGGAGCTTTTATTCTTAGGGCAGCTGGCTTCCATGTAAGTGAGGGGGAGAAACTGAAAGGAAGAGGAGAATGACAGCATTTATGATAAAAGCTTATTAATCACAAACACCTTGGCGCTCCCAATAACCTCTGAAAAAGAAAAATATAATCCTTTCTACCATGGGTCTGGGAAGCTTGCTTTTGGTTTCTGAGAGACAGCGTCTCACTTACAGCCCAGGCTGACCGGGACTCAAAGTGCTGCTCCTGCCTCAGCCTCCTGAGGGCTGGAAGGACAAGCGTGCACCACTATGCCCAGCCCTAGGAAAAAGTTTTAAAAGAAAACCTTAGATCCTTCTGAATCTGAAGCTGCGGAGGGTGGGAAGGCCGTGGCAACACCGAGGCCCACCTGCGCCACCCCTTCTATCAACATGGTCACCCTGAAGCCACCAGAGACAACAAGCAGCACGTTTCACCTCAAAGGCCGCAGAGATGATCTTGGCCTTCTTGCTGAGCACGGAGCCCACTGCATTGAAGTTCTTGTCTCGGATCTCCGCATAGAGCTCCTCTGCTGAGTTCAGCTGCAGCTTCTTGGCCTCTGTGGGGAGCTCCTTCCCGCCATCACCCTGCTTCTTAGGCGTGAATTTCTCTGGGGGTAACTTCACATAACCTGCACAGGGAAAGGGGCCACGCAGCGTACGATGACTGAAGAACCAGGCACAGGTGCCCACACGCGAATCTGCTCCAGCTCCACAGAGACTGGGGACTGCAGCCTTAGGAGAAAATGGCACACAGCTAATCTAAGGACAGGAAGCCGAATTTTCTGATCAAGGAGATTATGGAGCCACAGAGCAATGTGATCGATGATGTGCAGTGAGCCTGGGGAGAGTAACATGGAGAGAAAAAACATGCTCTCAGGCTTTCACAGAGAGCACATTGGTCAAGCAATGGCCGTGACTCATCCTCATGGCTGACACTGACAAAAGGATGTATAAAGTGCGGTACAGGGCTACAGGATAAATCCTGAGAGTACTTGGCTGACCTCATCAGATACACAAGTTACATTTCTTGGTATATAGGTCTTGCTTTATCTTGGTCTTAACCATCCAGCAGAAAAGTATAAAAATGAGGTATATAAAGTAAAGCCATATTAATACGATGAGCTGTAAAAGGCTCGTCAATAACTTCTGAGGATAACCCACTAATATTATAGACTGCTAGACAGAGTTGGATTGTTTAGCTGAATTCAAACACCTATAGTATTTAGATGCCACAAGAATACCCACCCCTGACAGGACTAAACAAAAAAAAAAAAGGTGGATACAAAGGAAAGATCATTTTGTATTTATATATGCAAAATAGGATAGATATACAGCTACTTTTGCTTAATTCAATGAGAAGAAACAGGTCTACTAATAGTGTTTGGACAGGATAACCTGTCTGCTTCTTGTACTATAGATAACCACTTGGCAGGATACAGAATAGATTTCATATTGTGGTTTGCAGTCCAAAACAGTGTGAAAGGCAAGCCAGAAGGCTGGGCATACCATCACACACCTATGAGCCCCACATTTGGGAGGCTGAGGCAAGAGGATCAATGTGCATTCAAAGCCAACCTGGGCTACAGAGACCCTGTCTCAAAAAAAAACAAAACAGATGAAAAGAAATGACTGACTAGCTGGGTTCCATCACACATGCCTGAGCCCCAGCTACCAAGGAGCGGGAGGCAGGAAGGGGCCAACCTGGGCAACTCAACGAGATCCTGTCTCAAAATAAAATTTTTACCAAGGGCTAGGGATAGCTCACCAATAGTTACCCTGAGTCTGAGATTTTTTCAAAAATAAAATGATCCTTGGAAAATATTGTCTGATCTTTCCCCATCCAGTTATTTTCCTTTTTCTAAATGTTCCTATTTGGTAATTTTGTGTATTATAGACATATTCACATATAAAACATACAATCAAAGTTAAGCTTGGCTATATACTCTTTCATTTTCCATATTTATTAGTTTAATGATTCCACCACATTTTATAATGTTCTCAAGATTTGGATTACTTAGAAAATTCTGGAAAATAAATGACAGTTCTTATACAAAACTCCTTGGCCTCTATTTATGAACAATTCCTCAAGGGACATTCTCAGACTGGATTTTCTTAGAACCAAGAGTTAAAAGTTTTATATACTACCAAATGGCTTCCAAAGGGTTTATATTAATCTACATTTTAAAAGTCATCATTAGAAGTGTCTAAGTTCAAATAAATCTTAAGTATGCAACATAAAAATGGTATCCTCAGGGCCTGGGGAGATGGCTCAGTAGAATAGGCGCTTCCCTGGCAAGTGCAAGGGCCTGAGTTCAATCCCCGGTTCTGCCAAAAAAAAAAAAAAAAAAAAAAAAAAAAAGGTACCCTCCAGATAAAAGATTTTTTTGTCAAATGTTCTACAAATAAAGAGTTGTCACTTTACTTACTGTTCTGAATGCCATAAATTTCATCAATGAGTCCTTCATATGTGAGCTGAGTAGCCAGAGGTGTTAATAAATCCACATTTCGATCAAGCAGCAAGAGATTATCAAAAACAGGAAATACTGAGTTCTGGCTTCCTGTGAACTCTCTCTTCATCCTGATCATCATGTTGGCCACTTGCTGGAAGCAAAACATTGGATCAGGGGGGCTCCTGGGAACCAGATCTTTAAAATTCAGCTAAAAATAGGATAATCAAAAGATTTTGAGAGAGAGAGAGAGAGTGACTATAAACATGAGACTGATAAAAAATAAACAGCAAAGAGCATCTGCGGGCTGAAGACTCAGCTTAGCAGGCTTGGTGCACCAGGCTCTGGGCTGGATTCCCACTACTGCACACAGACAGACGGCACTTGCTGTTGGCCACCCATCCCGACCCTTGCAGCCGGGGGCAGACACACCCAGAGACACAGTATGAGAGTCTGTGTTTGTCACTTAGGGAAGTTATGCTCCTCCAAGTCACTGCTGACACCGAATTAGCCAACACTGAGCCACTGCTCGCAGAGACACATGCCAAGGAACCCGAGAGTCCCATCACGACCTTCATCCCCTGGTCCATTTGCTTTACGTGTGTTTGTGGAGGTGCCTGCCTTAGTGGGTATCGTGGAGTCAGCCACACTGAACGCAGGCCCCAGCAGCTCCCTACCCGGCCTAAACAAAACCTTTGGGACAGGGCACCTCCTCTGTTAAGACACCAGACAGCACTTTACCCATGCCAAGCCTCCAGCACACAGAAGTGTAAGACGTGACGCTAAGCAGAAAAAAAAAGGATGCTTGTTTGTGGCTGAGAGCCAGAAGACAGCAGCAGAGCGTCACCCTGCTGGTGGACCCTCAGCTGGGAGCCAGCCAGGTGACATACTCCTCACCACCGTGCACCCACAGACCACCTGGGGTGCTGGTATGAGGGCTACACTCTCACAGGAGGGAGAAGGCCAATTCCCACAAGGACTGGGGTGTACCTGTGCACTTCCCCTTGGCCCCCAGCTGGAGCTCGGGGCCTCCCTCCCCATCCCCGGCTCTCACCCGGGCACACTCCCCTTTCCCAAAGATCTGGGGGATCGTTCCATACAGAGCTTGCAGAGTCATCAGCCCCTTGGCCGCATGGTACAGGCTCGTCTGGTCGCCCTCCAGGTAGCACTCCTGCAGAGAGAAAGGCCAGTCACTGGGGACCCACAGGCTCCTCTCGGGAGCTGCCAGGTCCCTGCCTATGTTAATGGACAATAAAGCTATTTCCTGACTGTACCAGGACACTCAGACTCCAGCTCTCCTGGCCTCAGTTCTTCATTTAGCAGCTCTCCTTGAAAGCCTGCTGTGCAAAGACTGTATTGACGACAGGCTTTCTCACTCACTCAGAAGGCTGAGGTGGGAGAAGCACAAGTTCTAGCTAGCCTGGGCAACTTAGCAAGACCTTGTTTCAAAAGAAAAAAGAAAAAAGGCAGGAGATGTAGCTCAGGAGTAAAGCATCCTTATATCCATCCCCAGTACTGTCAAAAAAAGAAAAATAAAATGTAAAGTGGGCTGTAGGCATGGCGCAATGGTAGAATCCTTGCCTAGCACGTGCCAGGCCCTGGATCCAATCCTGAGCACTACAAATAAAAAATGAGGGATGGGGAGACAGCTCAGTGGCTTAAGTGCCTGAGTGGCAGGCGCCTAGTTCAATCCTTGGTACCAAGAGAGTAAAAAAAACACCAAAAAATGACACCACCAGGTGCGGTGGTGCACGCCTGTAACCCCAGCACTCATCGGAGAGCAAGGCAGAAGGATCACACTGTGTGAAGCCAACCTGGACTACGCAGTGAGGTCAAGGCTGGCCTGGACTACACAGTAAAACTCTGACTCAAAAACAAAAAATGAACAAAGAGTATGCTCCATGAAGTGTCAAAAATACTTCCTTGCACTTCCCCACAATGCGCACACCCAGTGGGGTGTGGCGAGCGGGCTCGGCTCACACACCAGTGGGGCTAGGCTCAGGCTGTCTTGCTTTGACTTCCAGCCGTGTCACCTTGCTGTGGCTGAGGCTGGTGAGGTAACCTTTCAGGGCTCCGGTTTGTGCACCTACAGGACAGAGCATACGCCACTCAGGCCAACGGCTAAGTGAGAAGAGCACCTGTACTTTAACCCCAGTACCTGAAACACAGTCCATCTTTCGTGACCACATGCCAGTTTTTAAAAAATTATCATCATCAAGCCCTTCTAAGCCAAAACAGCACCTGGTGCTGGTACTAAAGTGTCAGGTTCAAGAAGCCAACCTGGCCTATAGCGAGGCCAAGGCCAGCCGGGGTTCAGGAAGCACTACCCCAGTGTCCCCAGCAGGCAGGGCTGGGAGCAGGAAGGAAGCTGGGCCCAGGCACTGAGGAAGGGCCAGCAGAGCTCTGGAGCAGGGAGGAGGAAGACATCTCAAAAAAGTTTTCCCGGTGAGTGGCACTGAAGCGCTGCCAGGATAAGGCACCTGTGTGGCACACCGTAATGGAGGATGCCCAAGACAGCTTTTCTGGAACAATTACTTAAACTCCTGAGCAGAAAGAGCTAAACTAAAAACTGGAGAAACATTTCTTTTGAGGCAGGGTCTCACTATGTGGTTCAGCCAGGCTTTAAACTCACTATATAGCCCAGACTGCCCTCAAACTCACAGCAGTCCTCCTGCCTCAGCTTCCTGAGTGCTGGGATTATAGGTGAGCACCACAACAGGAAACATTTCTTGAAATAACATTCATGCTCTCTTTTTCTTTTCTTTCTTGTTTTGGTGGCACTGGGGATTAAACCCAGGGCCTTTGAACTGAGCTACATCTCAGTTCTGTATTTTAATTTTTACTTTTGAGACAGGGCTACAGTAAGTCGCTCGGGCTGGGCTCCAACTCGGATCTTCCTGCCTCAGCCTCTCAGAGCACTAGGACTGAAGGTGTGTGCCACCACACGCAGCTTTTAGAGGACATCTTGAACATTAATAAACACCAGTAATGAGACTCAGCTTCCTGGGGTCATGACAGTAATGAGACACTTCGCTATTCACACGCCTGCCCAAAGTCGAGTCTGACGTCAGGGAAATGCCGAACTTACTTTGAATGCGCCCTCTGACTCCATGGACAAGAGATCCCCATCGAATGGAATGAGATCTAAACTGTACTCTTCCCTGTGAATAAAGGATCCCAATACACCCAGGTCCTTTAACCGCTGTTCACACAGCAAGCTACGGCGCGGCACGAACAAGATGTGGAAATCTCTTGCTGGACCACGTCTGTCTTCACTGCAAAGAAAGGAGGAGGGTTAGCGTAAGTGCTCGTACAGCTCAGTCGCTGTCTGCAGTACTTCACGCCAGTCTCCTGCCGCACATCAGCCCGAGACTGGTCAGGTAGAGAACACTGAGTCTCAGACCCAAAGGGTCACAGCTCTGTGCTCTGTCTTCTGTCCCAAACAGGAAGGCAGCACTGAGTGACAGCCAGCACTCTGTGGCTTTCCTCTGGCCTTCACGAAGCCATTATGAAGCATTAAGCTCTAGGGTTTATTACAACAGGATACCTATGTCTCACGGAAAACAAATGGTTCTTTAACCAGACCAACACAACGACAGCCTCACATTAAACTGAGAGACCACTCCTGACTCCCATCCTCTCCTCCCCTTTCAGTGGACTCCAGAAATAGCTCAGAGGCTTTTAAGATGGAAGGGGCGGCATCAATCAATTGTACCGGAGTGCAGACTGCGCAGAGAGCACTTCCTCCACAAAATGGATGCTACATTAAATTTTAATCAGCTTACTTATTTTGCTTATGAAATTCTAACACATCACATTAATCGAAAAATAATCTTTAGAAGATTAAAAATAAAAAACTAGGGTCCTTTGTTCTGACACAGATTGAAACTTCTAGCTGCACCAAGAGAATGGGCTAAGCCCCATCTTGTGCTGATAGAACCACTTCACAAGTTTCCTGCCCGTCCTCTTTTTAAATTTTTGTTTCTTCTGAGACACAGTCATGCTTTGCAGTCCAGGCTGGTCTTGGGCTTCCTACACAGCCCAAGCTGGCCTTGAATTTGTGGCAATCCGCCTTCCTCTGCCTCCCAGTGCTGGGAGCTTCCGTATCTCTTCTTATGCTGCTCCATCCCTGCCCAGTTGCTTTTTTTTCAGTACCAGCAATCAGACTCAGGACCTTGCATTTGCCAGCTGGGGCTGTGCTGCTGAGCTATATCCCCAGCTCTGTCCAGTTTTCCCAAACATTTTTTTTTAAATCAGTTTTCATTTTACTGTACAGTATATTCACGTAAGATCCTGCATCTCCAGGGTAACCAGATCACATTCAGGTTAGCACTGCTAGTAACAAAATCATACAAATACTCTGGCTTAGAGGCCAGGGAGATAGCTCAGCAGCGTAAGCGCCCGCAAGGCAAGAACAAGGTCCTGAGTTAGATCTCTGGTATTGGGGGGAAAAAAAAATTACTCTGGTGGGGCCGGGAAGATACCTCAGTAGAATAAGCACTTGCCTGGCAAGTGCAAGGGCCTCAGTTCAATCCCTGGTTCTGCAAAAAAACAAAAAAAAACCCCCCAAAAACCCAAAACCAAAAAAACCACTCTGGGGCCGGCCAGATAGCTCAGTGGATTAAAGTGCCTGCTTAGGCAGACTCAGAGGCCAAGGGTTCGATCCCCGGCCTGGAGTGCACTGAGATGATTGAGACTGGGTGTGGTGGCATGTGTCTATAATCCCAGCGCTTGGGAGGCTAAAAAACAGGAAGGATCACTACAAGTCTATTCTGTGTAGTGAGACCCTGTACTAAATACATTTTTAAAAATACTCTGGCTTAAAAACAAAATACAATGATGTACGTTACTACTTCTTTCCCTTTAATACTGTAGAAGCCTTGTACCATCTAGCGTGAAGCCATTATACACACAATGAAATTAAACCATGGGGACACGGAGAGTTCCAAAACCCTGGAGAACTCCCCAGTGCTGTCTTCTAGTTGCTGGGCCAGAGGAGGGCAAGCTCTCAGCTCACACCCAAAAGCAGAAGTGGAAGGGGAGGGGCTCATTTAATCTGAAAACTCATGGCTCTTCAGGCCACTTCTATACACATTACTAAAATAACCTAAAAATTTTAAACAGTTTATGTGACTAAGGGATGGTAAAAGAAGAAGCACCTGGGAAAACTTCTACTAGTCACAGAGGGAAATCTGATCCACAGACATTCCACGCACAAAAAAGAAAAGGAAACTCTATCACACCCCGCAATATGCCAAGTTCTCAAGGTACTTTTCACTGTGCTGCACTGTGCCACCTTCCAATGCACTGGCACGGGTGGGAGGCTGCAAAAAGGAGGAGCTCTGTATCTGTAGGTGAGCCAGCACAAGAGGTACCGGGGAGACGGCTCAGCGGAGTAAGTGCTTCCCTTCAATCCCCGGCTCTGCCAAAAAAAAAAAAAAAGAAAAGAAAGAAAGAAAAGAAAGAAAGAAAGAAAGAAAGAAACCATTACAAGGACCAGCCTCTTTTGCCCAACATAAGCGCTGGCATACCTGAGTACATTTTCAGCAATTATGTCCATCAGTTCTAGCCTGGGTCTGACAAAAAAAATAATATTCTTGACATCAGCTGCCGGCAAACGACTTCCTTTAAGTGTGAACATTTTTTCCACTTCATGTTCCTAAGAAAAAAGGTGCACAGAAGATTAACAAAAACTCTGAAACTTACCTGTCACATTCAGGCTCAAAAATCAAGCACACTCCCAATCAAATGCATGGCAATAGTTCATTATTAAAAGTTAGGCCCTCTCTCCCAGCAAACACATAAAGTTTCAGGATACAGCCACAGCTGTTGCACCCACATTCAAATGACTCCAACACGATGAACTACTAAAAACACAGGCAATGGTCACATAATATAATGCCAAAGTCTACACAGACCACGGCACAGAAGACATTAATCAGCTGCTACTACCAGTGTTTGTACCGATCACAAAGTCTGCAGTGAATTAGTTGGAAGGAAATGTAACATTTGATCCTCACTGCTGAAGTTCAGAATTATTAATCCCGGCAGAATACCCACAGAGCTTGTTTACCTTTAGTAGTGAATACTGTGCAATCAGGCCAAAGGGTCCCGTTAGGTACTCATCCCAAACTATTGCCTGGAAGAGGGAGAAACACTCTCTTACTACAGACAGATAACAGTGGAATTTCAGTATCAACAGGAAGCTGAAGTCATTCCCAGTACTCATATCTTCTTCAAATCTGAAGTTAAAGGTTCTTGCCGGGCGTGCTGGTGCCTGCCTGTAATTTCAGCACTCAGGAGCCTGAGGCAGGAGGATTGCTGCGAGCTTGAGGCCAGCCTGGGCTACAAAGTGAACTCAAAGCCAGCCTGAACTGTATAGCAAGATCCTGTCTCAAAAAGACTCCCTCCCCCCAAAAATAATTAAATTCTAATTGACACTGAGCACATATCTGTAATCCTAACACTCCGGAGGCTGAGGCAGGAGGACTGCCTTGAGTTCAAGGCCAGCCAGCACTATATAATGAGACAAAGGCCATCCTTGGATCTTACAGTGCAAGTGAATCAAGACTTCAAACTAGGCCTTTTGATATTGTAAAGTCACTGCTCTGGGCCCCTCTGAGTATTTCTACTACTAAACTCCAGCTCCACTTTTTCTTTAATTGAAGTTATTTAAACATTTGTACATTAACGGTCAGTTGTAAGAAATAGAGACTTTTGTGCATTTTACTCAGTTTCTCCCAGTGGTAACTTTTTTTTTTTTTTTTTTTTGTATTTTTAGTGCGGGATCTACACTGTCTCACTACACAGATGGGACTCCTAGTGATTCTGTCAACCTCCCAAGCTCTGGGATTACAGGCCATACCGCCATGCCCAGTCTAGTGGTAACATTTTGAAAAGATATAGCACAATATTACACCCTTGGATCCTGACACTGATTCAATCCATGATCTCATTTTGATTTCAGCATCATCTGCTGAATTAAACTGGCTCCCTTTATTTCGGCCTGCTTTATGCCCTCGATGACTGCTAGTAATCTCTCTATGTCTTGAGTCCAAGTCTGGTTCCTGACGTTTCTCAGTCTTCCCTTCGGAGGAATGGAATACAGCATTACTCAGAGGACTCATAAATCATTCCAAAAGAACAGAGGTAGCAATTCTTAAGTGCATTTAAGTCCCGGACCTACAGTGTCTGCCTCCCTTGTGAGCTTGGTGCTCTATCAGGCTAATTCATATTATTTTACAAAGGCCGAGTTAAAACTCCAAAGAACTACACCTTGTCTCATCTTTTCTGTATGCAGGTTGTAAGACGTCAGTGCTTCAGAAGTCTGGATTTGTACTGACACGCACGGTTACGGGAACGAGTGCACACCGCGCCATCTACATCCCGGGCCGGGCGCGCCCCACTCGTCTCTGGAGATGCCCAGAGCTGCGCCCTAGACCCAGATTACACGGGCCTAGAGCGGCTCGCCGGGAGCTGGGACACAACACTGGCTCAGAGCAGCCGCGAAGGCGCGCCGAACCCTCCGGCCGCGTCGCCGCCGCCCGCCGGTCTGCGGCCAGCAGGGTCCCGAGGCTCGCTTCCGGCAAGCTCCAGGGGGCGTTACACGCAGCAAGCTGGGGCGACCCAGGCCGGACTAGGCCAGGCCGGCCCGGGGGGCGAGGGTGCTGCCGCCGTCTCCTGCCCCTCACCTTGCTTCCCGCGCACTTGTCCAAGAATTCGCGCAGTTCGCGACGCACCGCCTCGCGCAGCACGTTCAGGTTCACTCGGCCGTAGGACAAGTGCGCCGCCATCTTGCCCCGCTGCCCTTTCCCAACGCGAGGCCGCGGTTGGTCACCTGATGGCGCGCCCACGTGACCCGACCGCCGACGCGCGCCCAGCCCGCAGCCTGAGTCCGCCCCGTGCGGTCCTAGTGTCCGCCTCATTTTCTTCCCCTTCCCTCTAACAGCCAGTTCAGATCCTGAGTGGAGATTGGATTTCTCACTCCCATTTAAAAAATCGCCACTTCCTTCTTACTACCAAAAGTAGTTGTAAAAATTTGAGGCTCCACTCGAATGCAAATCTTTTAAATTATAAAAATCATGTTCCGGGGTTGGGGAGATAGCTCGGCGGTCTAAGTGCCTGCCTGGCAATTGCAAAGACCCAAATTGGATCCCGGGTACCGCACGTTGAGCCAGCTCCTGAATGTACGCAGTGCCAGCCCGGAAACCCGGCGCACTTGAGCGTGCCTGTAATCTCAGCGCTGGAGAGGCTGAGACAAGAGGATCACTGGGTCCAACTGCATAGCGAGATCCCGTATCAAATTTTTTAAAAAATCATGCTCTTCGCTTGGCACTAATGAAGGTTCCTTGGGTTTGTGAGCGCCAATATATGGTTAGCGATCAAGGCAAACTTATATGGGTTTTCGCTTTTCCTAGAAGACTTACGGAGACGTTATTTCATGCCAATACTATTTTTTGTAGAAAATCCAGTATCAAACCAAATGGAAAGTTATTTGATCCAAGGAATTAGCAGGCAACATTTTTTATGCGAGTTGGCTGTGGAACCCATAGGCTCAAGTCACCAGTCCAGAGTCAGGTTTGAGTTCAGTTTAAATATGGTTTGCAAGTGGGAAGTACAAAACTGGTAGGAGGTTATTAAATGGTTGGATACATGGATACATGAATTAAGTCATATGTTTTCAAGCAGATTTACTGAAAAGGAATTATCAGTGGACATGAACATTCCGCGAAGGAGGAGGTGTGAGTGGAATAAGTGGTTAAGCGGGTCCTTGAGGGGACATCCTGCCCCAAACGTGAAGTCTTTGAAACAAACTGGAGACAATATATATTTTTTCTAATGAAGGAAAACAAGCTGGACACAGTCAAGTTGGCCCATCATTTCATCTCAGAGAAGGAGACAGCGAAGGCTGGCTGACTGCAGCTAGCCACACGACAGGTAACGCGCACAGCCACAGGCTATGAACTGATTTCTAACTTTTGCTATAATATGCCTTACAAGTCTGCTGCGCCCTTACACTATCAAATTTGGAATCTGGGCTCCACCACTTAGCAAAATTAGCTTGAGACCTGTAAGTTATCAGCAAGAGGACTGATTCAAGAGAAAGGCTGAGCAGGGTCTCTGGAACCTGACTGTTTAATAGATCATTAGGATATAAGCTTTTGGGTACCTCAGTGTAGAAATGTGCAGTTGGGTGTGATTAGACTTGACAATGCTGGATATTTAAATGCATGGCCCCTTCAGTGTATTTTAATACATTTTGTTAATGAAGACTCTAGGCAATTACTGTGCAGTCTAACTAAGAGTACTTTGGAGATGACACAGAAAAGCAGTCCATCAACCCAGAGTGATGTCCTCAAGTTCTTGATTTAATTAAGTACGGGCACATTCAGGTTAGTAGGTTCCTGTTTTTTCAGACAGGGTTTCAGGATATATAGTTCAGGCTGGGTTGAACTATACTTATGTAGCCCAGGCTGGTTTTGAACTCGGAGTGATCCTCTTGCTTCAGCCTCCCACCTACTGGGATTGCAGGTGGGTACCCCCATACTGGGCTAGGAACTTCGACTTTGGAGTTACAGGTCAGCATATATGCAAATACTGCCATGCTCCCTTCTCAACTAGGGTTCACATTGAGTATCAGCCTTTCTCAAAACTCTTCTCATGTAGAGTTTTGTATCATTTCAACATCCGTGAGAATGTGGAGCTCACGAGCCAAGTCATGAGCTGTTCAGCAAAGGTCTAAGAGGTAAAATGCCTCAAGGTTGGTGAAATCTTAAGCATGTGCACGTAGCTTAGCAAGATCGGGATTGTAGATGATGGAGCAATAGGTGCTTTAGGGAAAATTCTAGACAGTACCACCCCACAGGATAGTTTCCCATGGCCTGAAGTGAAGTCTCAGTGGGTGGGGTAGCTCCTTTCAGCAGCCACTTCGTGGCCCAGAACCCTTCTAGCATCTCGCTCAATCCTCGAGCACACTTAACCCCTGCAGGGTCAGACGGCTGTCATTTCATACTGGATCTCTGCATGTTCCCCCAGTTCTTGGACTCCACTGCACCACCCAATGCAGAGTAGCCTTCTGTGCCCATTTAGCAAATCCTCAGATTCATCAAGTCAGGAAGCCCTCCATCCTTCCGAGCTGCCTCAGGACACAGCAGTTCCTTCAAGCTGTTTGCAGTAGAAAGTGCTACTTGGGAAGCTGGGGGGTAGCTCAGTGGCAGTGTGTGCTTAGCACACATGAGTTGCTAGGTTCAATTCCCAGCACCAAAAGAAAGAACAAGAATTGCTATCTGGATAGCTAGGATTTTCTCGTTTAAAGAAAAGCCACTGTGCACTGGGCATGGTGGCACATGCCTGTAATCCCAGCACCTGGGAGGCTGAGGCAGGAGGATCATCACTTTGAGTTTAAGGCCAGATTGGGCCACAAAGTGAACTGAAGGCTAGTCTGAAGTGCATGGTGAAACCCTGTCTGAAAAAGAAAAAAAAAAAAAAAAAAGCAATTGTGACAAGCTGAGAATGAGTTCACTACTATTGGCAAAAATAATAATAACCATTTATTAAAGTACAGAACACGTTTGCTCAGATTTTAATACTGCTTTACACGTTTTCGCCTGTGAAACAATGCTTATTGTTATTGACCAAAAATTTCAACTGATAATAGACTTATTTATTCACTTGTCAAAGACACAGTTGAAAATCTTGGGGGAATACATCAGAGGTATATATACAATTATAGAAATTCTTATTATACACGTAGATGGAAGATATATTTTATTACTTTTTACATATTCTAGAAGACATTCAAATGAGGATAAATAGATTCTGACTGTTGATAAAACTGTTCTGGTGCTTGAGGTCCTTCATTTCATTTTTTTTGATAAGAAAATCCATAATTATTAATAGTGACTTTCTCATCATACATTCATCTAAAAACAGTAAAAACAAATTGTAAAGAAAAGTAGATTAGTTAATTTAGGTGTTTTATAGTGGCTTAATTCATTGCTAGGGATATCTGCTACAGAATGGAAAAAATGGGGAAAAAATCTTTAGTTATTTAGATCTGGCTAGAAAAATAAAAAGCAAAATGGAAACAAAAAATATTGTAGTTATATCGATTCCTGGTATTAAAAAAAAAAAAAAACTAGTTGAAAAGCCACATGATTCTATTTCTGGCCTAGTCTGTTTCATCCTAGCCACCATTTTAGGTGTTTTCTTTTTCATAGTAAAAATCTGAAAAGAAAGACATTGTGTTTTTTTCCCAAAATATAGATTTTTAAAAATATATATACATATATAGACGTTAAAATTATGTAAAACCAATAAAGAAAACACCACAGTCGAGTAGGTGGGTGCAGCATATAGATTGTAAAATGTCCCCAAAGCAATCTGGGGCTTCTCCTCCCTCTACCTGTTTTATGATTTATAATCACACAGAAGTAGCATTAAGCCTGAAAGAAGGCACTACTATAACAGGTAGTGCAAAAAGCTTGATATTCCTTAAGAATAAAATACTCTTGAGTAAATGAAAATGCAAAATGGTACATTTTTTGCAACTCATTCCAGTGTCAAAGCTTAACCAAAAACAATCTAAATATACAAATGCAGCCTGGAAATATTTTTAGTGCAAATATGAAAAGTAACGGCATAATTTAAAGTTTCTTAAATAAGGTATTGCAAGGGTAGGGCTTGTTCTACGATGTTTGCCTAGGGACAATAGATGGAATGGCATCCAACATCTTAAAACATAAAAACCAAGAAAATAAAATCAGAGGTGAAAGCTCACCTACTAAATTCTTATTTATTCTAACTTATAAGGGGAGACTAAAGGACAATTTGTTGAAGACCAAAATATTTTCTTAGATTTGCTGATGGAGTCAAAAATAAGGTCCATTCTCCTGAAGCCACGCACGCGATGCTGGTGCTGGTGTCAGACTGCGTAAGCGCAAGTGCCTCCCACAGGCCCGCCTGAGGCTGTGTCAGAAGGTCTCGTCATCATTGCAGTTGGTAGCCCAGTGCCCAAACATCTCACAGATTTCACAGTATGGCCGCTCCTCACTCCGACTGCCGTGGTGTGTGGAATGGGGCGGGTCTTCAGAGATCTGCGTCTGTGTGGGACAGTCCTCTGTGTCGTGGAGGTCAAAGCAGTCACAGATGTCACAGAAGAGCCGGGGCTTCTTCTTGGCCCGCTTCTCCTGGTCATCACTGCAGATGTAAATGTGTAAAATCACAAGCTTTATCAAGAGGAACTCAAGAGATAACAGCACAGAGAATCTTAAAAATAAGCAAGAACTAATTCTGGCCAAGTTCTTGCAGCTGAGGGTCAACAGCACCTTCAGCATTTAAAACTTACAGATCATGCTATTTGTGGACTTGTTCTCTTGATAATTTATTGGAGAGCCTAACTTGAAAGCACACCTGTTCTGACGGCAATGAGGATTTGATTGGGAGGGACAGGAGGAGACACACACCTGTCATAACTGTTCAGGTCGTCCCCATTGCCATTGAGGGCTGCTTCGGACATCATCTCCACCTTCATCTTGAGGTCCTGATTCTTCCTCTGAAGGTCCACGATTACTGAATTTAGGAAATCAATCTGATTTGTTTAAAAAAAAAAAAAAGAAAGAAAGAAAGAAAGAAACAGTGAGGAGCATAAGGGATCTAGTACACAAGCAAGGGCTATCAGGAAATCAGAAGTGCTCCTTGCTCTGGGACTGCCTGGGGCCTTGTTTCAATCCCTGCCAAGCCGAGATCAGCCATTCTCCAACCACAGCCCAGCACAGCAAGTCTTGGTGACCTGGGTGATGTGGTTAAGGGGGTTTTTCTCCCTTTCAACCTCAATAGTCTTTAATTGTTCTTGCCAAGCAACTATTCTATACTGAAAAACACTTTGTTGTTTTTAAGAGTCTTGCTATGTAGCTCAGGCTGGCCTTGAACTCATTATGTAGCCCAGGCTTAATCTCAACTCACAGCAATGCTCCTGCCTCAGCCTCTGATTGCTAGGATGACAGGTATGTGCCACCAAGCCTATCTTGAAAAAGCGTTTAAAACAAATTTCACTGAATTTTCCAGCTATAAATGGGTAAACTTCAAAGGTAAAGGGGATTATACTTAAGTAACTAAATCTGAGGATTGGTAGAGTGCTGCTGATCTATGGAGAAGAATCAGAAACATTTCTTTCAACAAGAAAAGCCACTTTTCATTG